GGATGGCACCCTCAAAGATGTCCTTGACGGAAAGAGCACGCACTCTGTTTAAGCCGAGATCGCCTGCAAGTGCCTGAGTTAATTGTTAGCAAGTTCGTCCGTCCGAGCAACATCAGACGAATGTACATACGACTAATTGGCCAACCAGAGCGTCCCTAGCCAAAAGATCAGTGTCCTCCTTAAAGGCACGCAACACGCTCTTGCGAATCACGACACGCTCTGGGTTGTAGAATTCCAACAGTCGAGAGGCCCATTCCATGCCCGTACAGTTGACGTAGGCCTCGATGATGCAGGTGATGAAGGATTGGAGCAGTCTCTTCGTCGTGTCAGGGTCCGTCGGCGCCAACTGCTGCTTGTGTGCGGCCTCGGGGTCTGGTGCGTGTTTTGTGGGATCGCTCTTCGTGAAGGGAGTGTCGAGCTTGTTGCTGGACTGACGGGTAGGAAGCGGCGGGCGCTTATCGCCAGAAAGGGAGCGGACAAGGGCAATGACTGCAGCCGTCATTTCGGGATTGCGGGGATGGTAGGAGCGGTAGACGCTCTGCAGCGTCGTATGAACGAAACGGGAGGGGCGCGCGACGTTCAACCGCTTGTGGAGGATGCTCAACATGCCGACCAGGTGAACGAATGTCGCCGTCGTCGCGGGGTCATCTTCCTCGTCAGTGGCCTCGTCGACGGTCTTTTCCAGAACCTCGAGGACCTTGAGAATGACCTCGCGCGGGTTGCCCAGCTGAGCAATGGTCTCGAGGCATTGCTCGCTGCCTTGGACGGGCACGAGCATCTCAACCAAGTCCCATCCGATGTCCTGGGTGAGCTGAGTGTCTTGAAGGATTTCGTTGAGATCAGGCAGGATCTCGGGGGACAGGACCTCGCCGATGATGGTTAGGTAGGTGAATGTGTCTGTGGCGGGCGGCTTGGACTCGCGTAGAGCCTGGAGGGGGCTGGGCTTATCGGCCATGGCAAGGGGAGGATTCGTCGCTTCAATCATGGTGTTCAACTACTCGATGGTCCTCTGTGGCATTGGAGGGGTCGTTCGATGATCGTTGAAGAAAAGTCTGGGCCGATGAGGACTCGGCAAACGACAGAAGGGGGGGCAGACGGGGTGAAGAAAAGAAGAAAAGAAACTGTGCCTGTTCTCGTTTCGTCATCGGAGCTTTCAGCACCTGAGAGATGGAAGGGAAGGCGCGAGAGAGAGGAGGACCACATCGGACCTGGGCAGGCACGGCAGGGTTCCAACTCCAAATTTCTCTCCACCAGGCAATATAATTAGCACCTCACCAGCAGCTCACCACTCCACGAAAGGGGGGGTGATTGAGGCGGGCGATTGCAGTCAACCGTCAACGACAGGCCCAGAAATGCCAGCAGTGGGCGCAGCAGCAACCCCGCACTAGCCCTGATTCAGAGAGGATCCCGCTGGAACACTTTACAGGTCAGGCTCACCCCACTGGAATCTGCTGCATCTGAAGAGGTCCCGCCAGGTCTGGAGCCTGAGGATGGCCCCGCCTCAAGAGACAGTGGAGAGGTCGTTGGTGCAGACGTGTCAGTGGCCAGACACCGCCAGAGGCACAGTGAAACCCGGTGCCATCGGGTAATACAGCGTGCCAGACCAGGCTGGTTCCAGCCCGCAACACTGGCTGGGGCCAGGCCTTGGCGGTGAAGTGGCCTGCGACGAGACGTCGGATGGGAGGCTGAGATCTGAGAGAAATTCTCAGGACTATCCCTACGGGTTCCCTTACCTAACACGGTACGGGAGAACAGGTTGCGGATGGAAAATCGGCTCGTGTTTGATTTATGCTTGACAATGGAAGCATCCGAACAGACGACGAAACTGGACAGTCCCCATCCCTTTAATCTGCGGGAACGGGAATGGACCCTGAAGAAACCTGAATCCTGAGAGACAGGACAGGACCGGGAAGTCGGAAGTCTGAGTCTCGAGGAACCACTTCACCCGCCATGCCGCCCACCTCTTCCAGTGTCCCACCATGGGAAGTCTTATCGGTCCCGCGCTATCCCTCCTGTTAATTGTTATCGATAGAGAAAGTGGAGCGGGCCAAGATAGCGGGATGCACCTCGATAAGACACCTTGGACCGGGGAAGCGATTACAGATGACCCAAGAATCAAAGGTATCCGTAAGTACCTTGATGGAAGTACATCGTACCCCTCCATCACCGCCTCTCTCGTATGTCTGTCTCCCTTGCCTTTGAACCTCGTCTGAGAGCATCTTACAAACGCAAGGTCTGGCAGATCTGAAGACAACAGGCTCAAAGGAAATAGCAGAACAATTGCTCGCGTACAGATTCATCATCAAGGCCATCCGGCGCCATCTGCCATCCACCGCCTCCAACAAGCAACTGCCCGTGACACACCCCGCACCCGCTATTCGTCCCAGGTTCCCTGACCACCACCACCACCGCTACCTACCTTACTACCCGACTATTACGAAGTGCCACCACCCGGTCACATCACCACTAACGAAAAGAGCGGACAGGTACTTCAAGGTTTCGTCCATCTGAGTAGCAAATACCGTACGGAGTACTTCCTGCCTCGCCAAACGCTCACGCCTCAAAATGTACCCCTGTGTCCCCTCCTTCCCATTCTAATCAGGTGGCTCCTCCCCGCCCCTACCCAACCCCAAGCCAACGCCCTACCTGACCTTGCTCTGACCGACAGTTACCGACTGCAGCCTCAGCGGACTGGGCGGGCTACAGCCGAACTCAAGTCAACGTCGTGCCGTCTCATCCCGTAACCTCACTCGTGCCTTTTGCAGGGCAAAGCAGTCTTTTTTCATTCTATTCCTCACCTTCCACCATGTCCTCTCCCGGAGTATCGATATCGGAGGTGCCCGCGAGCAGAATGGACAGGTTTTGTCAGCTCCCGGCGGAACTCCGTGCAGCCGTGGTTGAGAGTGTCGTCGATCACTGGCGCTATGGCGATGAGTCCGATTCCCTCGCCGACTACGCCTTGGTCTGCAAGGAGTGGCAGTCCATCGTCGAGCGTTTCAACTTCTCCGTCCTCAAAGTCACCCTTGCCAACCTGGACGACTTTGACTCTTCCATGGTCGGCTCTCGCCGCAGTCTCGTCAAGCGGATCAACCTACACGTTGACTTGCCTACCTACGACAATGATCCCTGTGAAAAGAAGGAGACCTGGGAGGACAAGGCCGAGAATAACGCCTGCTTTACTCTTGCATTTTACCGTCTGTTTAAGACCATGCATTCTTGGACACCAGAGGATTCGACTCGCGAAGGCATCGATTTCTCACTGAGCATATCCTCACCCAGCGACCTCCGCAACGCCAACTTTGAGCTATGGCAACGACGCAGGTGGAATATCAAAGATATCGGCGAAAAGCGTTTCGCAGACTCTTGGATCGACTTCGTCGGCCAGGATGAGGAGTTTGACCGGGTTAACCGCCTGCCCGTGGTCAAGGTGATAAGATCATTCACTGTGAGCCCTCAGAATCACCGGGCACTGATGCCCGCCGCTCACGCCGACATCATTGCCCGGCTACCCGGGTTGCGGAAAGCCAGTTTCGACATCACCAAGGACCGAAAGAAGGAAACCCGCAAAATCCACTTCAACCGTGCGTTGTAATTCTTGTTACTCTCCACGTCCCCTCACTAACACTGGCCAGAATTCGCCGGTTCCATGACAAGGTGGCCCACCTCTCTTGAAAGCCTCACCATAGCGTCCAACACGATATCATCGTGGCGCCAAATTCCCCACGAGACGCTCGCTGAAGGCGATAGCGGTGCGAAGCTCTGTGATAAGCTCCGGCGTGCCGCTCAGCATCTTAAGGAGCTCAATGTCACCAACGTTGTTCGTATCAGGGAATTCTTACGTCCTCACTGGCCCATGGGTACGGAAGACACCGAGCCGTTCCTGGCGAACCGCCCGTATCACCCAGAGTTTTGGCTGCTCAAGACTCTTTACATCTCTTATGGATCCATCTGGTACAACACCGAGTGGCACAAGCAGAGCGACGATATCAATGAATCCTCAGAACTAGTAGACTTCCGCCAGAACGTATCCCTCGCCGCCGCTCGGATGGCCTACACGATGCCTCAGCTGAAGCACATGACCATCAAGCAAAGGCCTCTCATGTGGGCAGGCAAGCATGAGCTCGAATACAAGATCGAGGATGGTGCTAAGGCCAAGTTGACTTGGTTAAACACCTTCGATTTCAAGCCATGGGAGCGAACCGTGGAGGCGTGGACCGAGGTGGCCGCCCGGCACGAGAGGAAGCTTGAAGTTCGCATCACCACGGGGACTTGGCATACCGACGGCAAAGCGCCTCTTCTTCCATCACTCACTTTTTGAGGATCTTCCGTTTCTCAGATTCGAGGATTAGCAGTACGCCCATTCTTTTGTATGTTTTTTTCTGGACGGAGTTTTCATGGCGTTTGACGTTTCTCCTTTGGTACTCCTCTCATTTCACTTGGTTCATGATACCCAGGGTCCGGAACCGCTCTTCACGGCGTCAAGCATCATTCGGGGGGCACGGCAAAGGGAAGTGGGCAAGCGGATAGTATTAGTAGACACAACCAGGACGAGGCCTCAGCGGGGCGATGGAGAGGTCATACCAGAGCGAGATGTTATTTGGTAGATATGTTGGATGAGCAATACACGATTCAAACACTTGGTCTTCCTTTTTCTTTTTTTTCTTTTTTTACTTCGTTTTCGTGATGGGTTTCCCCGGCCTTGTGTCATGATTCAGGTTGAGATGGTTCTGCTACACGTGCTGTGACCAGCAGTAGTCCAGTGCTGACACCGCCTCGATGGCTGGATCAACTTGCATGACATACATTGATGGTGGGAGTTCATGTTAGTCATGGTAGCGTTGATTGGTTGAGTGTAATCTGAGTCTCGGAATGAAATGTGAGGGTTGCAGTGTGCTTCTCATGGGATAAATGAGCCAAGATGGCCTCACATGCTCACATATATTCTGTGCTCGCTCAGCAGACAGTAATGCTCACCTACCATCTCATAGACAATATGAAGTAGTTTGATATCATTTGATTTCATCTTTTTGATGCTAAAAAGAGTAGTTCTCCCAATCCCCAACGCCATATCCCAGACGCCATTTCCAAAAATCCCATGGAACCAGATATAATCATCTCATGCGTACACATCTACAGTGGAAACGAGTCTTTGGTGCGTGTGCCACACTCACCACTGATAGCCCCCATCTCACTCATCATCATCGTCCAAGTCCAAATCAATCTTGGGTCCGGGTCCCCAGCTATACCTCTTGCGCGTCCTCAACATCCAACTCCAATGGCTCCACGGATCCTCCGCAAGCTTCGTCATCTCAATCACATCCCCATGGCCCTCCCACAGCGTAGTCAGCCCATACTCGACCGCCATCCGCGCATACTTTGTCGCCAGCCACGGCTCCCCGATACCGTTGTACTCAATCGCCGCAAGGGTGTACGCCTCCGTCAACAGACTCCAGTTGTGCTCCTGCTCATACAAGGAAATCAACAGCTCGGCCATCTGCGGCGTCGCCCGCGAGGCGGGCGTGTAGTCGTTGAACTCCTCGCGCAACGAAGCAATCTGCTCGACGCGGCGGTCCGACTCGTCCGTCTTGAGGCGGTGTTGCATGCAGTGGTGGCAGGAGCAGTGGAAGCCCCAGGTGGAGTGGAGGCGCTCGCGGCGGGCGGCGCGGGTTTGCATGGGGTCGATGTAGGAGAGGGTGAGTTCCTCGCCGGGGATAATGTCGCGGATGGCGACGGTGCGTTGGGTGAGGGTGCGCGGGTCGAACCAGTAGTCTACGTTGGGGCGGCAGTCGTGGTTCATGCGGGATGCTGGCGGGTGCCGTGTTAGCCGGGATTCTGATGCAGGTACTAATATGCACGAGAGGAGGGCGAATTTAGGGGGGGGGGGGGGGGGGGGGGGGGGTGGCAGAGAGCTTACTGTTCACAAAGACGGCGTAGAAGTCATCGTCGCGCTTCGCATCGTCCATCTCGACATCAAACGAGTTCGTCACGAGAATCTTGTCCACCATGGACAGATGATCGCCGTGGTAGCCGTGGCTCGACATGTTGAGCCATTGACTACGGTGCTTAAACTGCAAGAAATCCACAGCGTGCGCCTGCATCTTCTTCATCTCGTCCGGTGGAATATGGCTAAACGCCGCATAATCAATCAACAAGCTCGCCGTCTCGCGCAAGATGATCTCGCCGCGCTTGATCGGCAGCGAGGCGACCAGACCGTAGTCCTTGCCGGGCACCTTGGCCACCTCGAACTTGGGCAGCGGCTGGTTCGTGCCCTCGAGCTCCTCGGGCCTGGTGAAGCCCCAGCTGCGGGTGATGTGGGCGGCGCGGTCGGCGTCCGTGATGATGGATATCCCTTTGCCGCCGTAGTTGCCCGCGTGGTAGATGCAGAATTCGGGGGACTCTGTGCCATTTTTGAAGCACGGAGATGTGTGCGTCCATACGGAATCTGATGAGGAGGAGGCGGAGGAGGTGCCCGCGGTGAAGGGGAACTGGTCGGCGCGGCCGCCGAGGAGATCTTCCTTGTTGCGGCAGATGGGCCCGTTGTTGGAGGAGGCGGCGAGGAGCTGGGAGGAGATGCAGATCTCGCCGGAGCTCGAGGAGATGACCTTGGATTCGCGGAAGGCGAGGGCGGGGCCTGCGCCCAGGAACAAAAGTGAGGGCTTCATGTTTGATGGGAGAGATGTGTGTATTAAAAAGGAGGGGTCTTTTGTCTTTCTTCGGGCCGTGATCTACACAACGCGCGAATAGAAGTGAAGAGGGGAGCAAAAAAAAAAAAAAGGATGAACAGCAGGAAGGGGGAAAGAAAAAAGGAGAAGAATGGGAAAAGAAGAGGAAGAGTTGGAACACTGCTTTTCACTTTCGTCCCATTGATCTTAAGATAATCGGACTCCCGGCACAGCTCGAATGATTGAAAGTGGGACGAATAGATATTAAGTATCCGCAGCTACAAACGCAGCACAGCAAGTGCATGGCACGCAATAAGCAAAACAGCGTGAGCAAGCTTCAAAAGCAAACCCTGGGCGCTTCGACTCTTCTCTGGAGATGCATGCCATGCGCGGGACGGGGTTCGAGCTCTCGGCGCTGGCTGGACCAGCGTTTGGGATGCTCGCGGGGGAGCAACAGGATTGGAGCATGGGAAGGGGGTATGTAGGTACACTTTCACACGCAGATGATAGAACAGATGGTGATGGGGGCTTGCGGGAGAAGAGACGTGACAAGGTCCGCGAGCTTCTTGGAGCCCGGATCCCTGTCTATAAGGTCCTGGATGTTTGTGTGAATGGTCGATTGCGTTGGAACTCTGAGTTGCCATTGAAGCTGTCCACGGGTTCCGTCTGACAAGTTTTTTCTCCCTGATCGTGTCTTCATCCATGGGAGTATGGACCGTGGAGTCGTGGATGCATGGGCGAACCCCAGGATGGAGAGAAACAAGACTTTTGACGAATGTAACCCTCGGTAACTTTAGTAAGGTTGTCTTGTAACGAGGAAGGGTTAAGCGACTCATGGTGCGAAGGAAGACGGCCCCCTGTAGCCCCTTCCCGCGACCCAATTGGACATTGGCGTTGTTTGATGATTGATGTTGCTGCTAAGGTAGGATCTTAGGAAAAGGGGAGGGGGGTATCGCGCTGGGTTGCAGTGCTGCGATTGTTTCTTGTGTCAAGATCCTCGTTGATGGGCGTTCAAGGGGGTTGTGCGCTCGTGTCAGATGTGTTGCAGGACGCTGGAGTTGACTTCTCGAGTTGCCGCCCCCCTCCCCAGTCAAGAGTGCGGAGCAAAATGGGTGGGTGCGGGAGAAAAGGGGTGGCGTTGCAGGCAAAACGGAATGGGGGCACCGGGTTTGGAGGTCAGACAAAACAACTGACACACGCCGATCAGCGGGAGAGCCTTGGCCTGTACCACTAACACGGCAACATTGACAAGTACTAGCCTGCTTCCGTAGGTAATAGGTATGAACCCCTTGGGTAAGTTGACCGTAGGGTACCCAGCAAACTACCTTCTCTTGCATGGCGGTTGTGGAGTGTTTCCAAACCGATTCTGTGGGAGAATGTCAGGCACCAGAAGTAAAGTTAAAATTTAGGTGCGCTTGCAGGATGGTGGTGGTGGTGGCCGCGGCCACCTTCCATTGCCTATTGGTGAATTGTCGTAAGGATTGACTTGCCTTTCTCTGCCTCGTTCGAGCCAACCTGAGCCCGTGGAGTGGGAACGCTGTTCACGTTCTGTGATTGCCGCCCTGCTAGGGATATGTGCAGACGGAACAAATTGATCTGATGACCAAGATTGCCTGCCCGTACAGAGTCGTAGCCCAGAATAGATGCTACCGCACATGTCGAGGAAACTTGCGACGACGCGGGAGCCACCTGCGCCCATTGTGGCGGCTAAAACATAACACACAGCACAGGGCCCGAACCGCGCAGGAACAGCATGGGCAGCCTGCTGGATAAGACGGCACCTCACAGCACGAAGAATGCAAATCGCATCTCAGCTACACGCCAGACGAACGTGACGAGAGAGAGAGAGAGAGAGAGAGAGAGAGAAGGCGTCGACGACCTTATATAGTGGAGCAAAGTGAAGAATCCAGACCTCCCGAGTCCCAGCGTTCGGGTCCCCTCGAGGCCGATGTTTTGGGTTTGCGTCTTGAAATGTCGCGTTGGGGAAAAAAAAGGGTCGAGCCGAAACGAGAAACCGGAACCCAACTATAAAAGTCTCCGGCCACGGGGGCTGCCGTGACCCACTCGGAAAGCGAGCTCGGTGATAAGTGGGGATCGAATCCGGAGCACCGGAATTTGCGGAATCGCTTCATTCGGCAGTTTAATGTCAATAGCCTCAATATCCAACTCTACCTCACAGGCAATCAACCCTTGGCATCCTTCTACAAGTGCCCAGCCCGTCTCCTAAACTGATCCGCAACACTCTCCATCTCCACAGCAGGAAACCTCGGATCCTTCTGCCACGGCAAGAAATCACTACTCGCCACCATCCACCTCAACACAACCCCTTCCATCCGCCTCCTCACCTCCTGATACTCCGCCACCTCGGCCAAGTTATGTAGCTCCCCCGGGTCCTCAATCCTGCTATACAGCTCCGCCGGCTCATACAGCCTATACACAAACGTCCACTTCTTATCCCGGCACGACACGCTCTTGCCCACGATCGTCGTGTCCTCGTGCTGCAGCGCCGCCTTGATATCGTACGGATACGGCGCCTGTTCCAACAACGGCTCCTCACTCGTCAGGAACCCGCCTTCCGTAAACGCAAACTCCTTGTGGACTTTCGTCGTCCCCGTCTCGGCGTCCGTTCCGGCAGAGGTCAACACGTCCGCGAGCGAGACACCGCAGTGCGGGAAATGCTCCCCGATCCCCCCGAACTGCAGTACCGTCGGGACCAGGTCCACCATCTCCGCCATTTCATCGTACACCACGCCCCGCGGCAGCCCGCAGCCGCCGACGAGGAGCGGCTCGTGGGTCAGCGAGTCCGAGAGGCCTGACGGCCACTTTTCAATCATGCCGTGGTCGCCGAGGTACTCCCCGTGGTCTGTAAAGAACAGCGTCACCGTAGAGTCCCAGTGGCCCAGTGCCTTTGTCTTTTCTACAACGCGCCCGAATTGATCGTCGAGACGGGAGATCATGCCATAGTACGTCGCCATCACCTCGGCCCAGATCTCGGGCGTCGCGCGGTGGGTGCCGTACCGCTCGCGGTTGAGCTGCATGTAGCGAGGCTCGTAGCCGGTCTGATGTAATCCGTCAGCTGAGACACCTTTTCTCGCAGCAACTTCCAGCACAAGGTGGCTCACCTTATCCTCCGGTCTCGTAGGCACACCCATCTCCCCACGATCGTACATGGAAAAATACGGCTCCTCCACCTGAAAAGGACAATGCGGGAAGATAAGCGGCATAAACAACACCCAAGGCTTATCCGTCGGCGGACACTCCAACCACTTCAACGCCCCCCTCACAACAGCATCATCATAATCCATCGCCTCCTCATTATTCCTCAACCCCTTATAAAACAACCTCTTCCAAATATCCTCCTTATCGTCCGGCTCCGCCCTCCCGCCACCCGCAAACCTCGGTACGAACTCGGGCGTCTCGAGGAACCCGTACTCGTCGAGCGACAGCTCCGTCACCGTCGGCGCAAAGGTATCGCCCCTAGGCGCGAGGCACGCGACATGGTAACCCCCCCGCTCCTTGAGGGACCGGAAGAGGTTGGGCTCCCACGGCTTTATGAGATTTTCGAGCGAGCGGTGGCCTGTGACGTGCGGGTAGTTTCCTGTGAACATGCTGCAGCGGGATTGTGTGCAGACGGAGGCCTGGACGAAGCAGTTTGTGAAGCGGGTGCCTTCGGCTGCGAAGCTGTCAATGTTGGGCGTCTTTACAGTCTGTTTTGTGATGTTAGTGATATACGTATGGTGAGTTCTTTGAGGGGAGGCAAGTTGACCTTGTTTCCATTGCAACCCAGAGAGTCGTAGCGAAGCTGATCCGGCATGAAGATGATGAAGTTTGGCCTGTCCACCTTGAGCCCGCTGGGCTTCGCGGGCTGTTCATACGGAGGGGGGATCTCCGAGGAGGGCGCCATCGTGAGAGGTGATCTGTCTGATGAACAACTTCACTCTGCGAGTCGATGTTTGTCAAGAATGCTCGCAGACCAAGAACAGGAAAGTCCCTCCTAGATATACACAACATCAAAACCGGAGACTCTTCATTCTACCCTCCATACAAAGACCATGGTAACCCACTCATTATCCCAAACGGCAAATCCTCACTGGTCAGATGAGGTTCAACACGGCGATGTGCGTCGTCCGTAGCACAGCCGACAGCCGCTGCGATCATCCGGCGAGATCCGGCGATAAGTGGAGACAATCTTTTGGTGGTCCGTACTTCGTACCCAGCCGTGCCAGATGTGAGCCGGGACCGGGCCCAGTTCCCGCGTCCCATTATTGGAGCATGAGTCGGGGGATTTTGATTGATGATCATCGCTTGTCGATCCATGGCCCAGGACGTCTGTCTTTGACATGAAATACGAAACAAACCATTCCGCCGATCAAAGTCGTTTCTCTGCAGCCTGCCGCATTTTCGAGGTACCGTGCCGCAGGAGCGGCTACTAGCCCAATGATAATAAACATTGACGTCGGACCTCCGGCAAACATTGCCAATGCGGGGTGGCTGTAACGTAGGGGCGGCACACGGTCTCACAGGATCGACAGACTCGGGGTAGCACGGGCGTATGCGAGAAGCCATGGTCATCATTTGCTTTGAATTGTTTAGAGGACAGAAGGAAATTATACAGCATTAGAATATACAAATATTCTACAACCCGGCATTCGCCTTCACCACACGGTGATTCCTGGTTTCGTTCACACCGCGAGACAGGCTTCCCGGGGGTAGTCGTTAAGTTTATATACGTAAAGAGTTGCGCCCCGAGCCATTTCCCAATGCCGATGCGCGGTAACTCCACAGACGGTGGTAGGTTCCCCGTGTGTGGACCTTGCATCGGGCAGAAAGTCATCCCGGTGCGCAGGGTATAAAAGTGTGTGTCGTCGAACGCCATGCCATGTTGAGAAAAAATGCTGAGTGGTTTGTACAGCGGGGACCGATCTGTACAGAAGAAATTTGTCCGGGCAAAAGTTGGACACTTGATAGTTTTGGTTTTGGTTGCTTAGTTGAAGCGCTCCTTCTCACGCAGGCCGCCGATTGAGTCGATATCAACAGAGTAAAATTGCGACTTGCTGTCCTTCTCGTACGCCGGGAGCTGCTCGTCGCGAACAGGCTCGAGGCCGACGGAGCCGCCGTCGCCAACGCGGACGACGAGGACACGACCACTCTTGCGACGGCCGCCCTCATCCTGTTCGTCGGGGAAGGTGATGTGGATCTCGGGGACGTTGTCGGGAGAGTGGGGAGCGGACTGGGGGTTCTGGAGCATCGGCGAGCGTCCGTCCTGGCCGATGTAGAGGACGCTTGAGCGGCCATCTTGACTTGTCTGAATGGTGAGGTTGTGATGGTTTCTGGCGCCGCCCTTGACTTCTTGATAGGCGGGAAGCATCTGTTCTTGACGTTGTTGTCTGCGCATGCGGCGCATGAGGAAGAGTGTGGAGACGAGGAGGAGGGCGAAAAAAATCAAGGCGAGGACGACAATCATGAGATTGAGAGTGTCGCCGCCATCGACGTCGCGGGTGACAACGCCAGGGGCGTTGCGGGAGATGAGATGCTGGATAGAAGGCATTGTGTCGGTCGTGAGCGGGTCTGATTATTACTGCAAATATCCCTTTCTTTGGTGAGATTCGAAGAAGGGAGCGGTATTCGGTAGTATTATTAAAGAGCTGACGACTATACAGACGATTGTTAGCATCGCGAAAGGGGGTTGTTGTTTGAGGGTCCGACATCTGGTGAGACATTCTGGAGCATTGTCTGGTGAACACACAAAGGGGACCCAGATCCATTCCAGGTCTCCCTTTTCTCACCGACCAACAGACAGCTCCTCGAACATCCAGCAGGGCGGATTTGCCTCGCCTCCCGGAAAAGAAGTGGCACATACGTAAGGGATTAAGTCTTTTCTCTGTGGCAGGCCGTCGCGAAAGTCGTTAAAGAATGCACTTGTCTCTCAGTGTGTCGAGGGTATTTTTAGATTTGGGATTTGGATGATGTTTTTTTTTTCGGTGTAGTCGTGATAGTACGTAGTGAGCGGGTTGGTTATTAACGATAGGACGGAAAACTGCTTAGTGAATGCAAGCGGGAATTCCAAGGGGGGATAGTATTAGAGAGTGACTGGAAGGAGGGTGCTAATAGAGAGCGAGTGACAACAAACGGTCCTGCAACGTACAGCAAGGACAACGACGATCTGAACAAAGTTGTTGAAGAAGAAGGGGAGGGAAGGGAGGAGGAGAAGAAGTCGAGGTGGAAGGGAACGAGGAAGGATATGTCCTGGAAAATGGAGAGACAGGGGTAGCGCCGAGGAGCCAAAGAGGAGAGAGTCTGCGGTGTGCGTAGTGTACCTGCATTGGTGTGTGTACATTTGGTGTGCAGGCTTGCATTAGGACTGGGCAGCGGGTAAGTGGCTACTGCCCAGTGTGGGCGGCATTGGACGCCTGGGAGGAAGACGCGATGGAGCCATGCCGTTCCTGGCCAGGCATCCAAGGATTTTTGCAGCGAAGGCACAGCATAAGCGCACAGAAAAGGGCGGCATCATTCATCATTGCATGGGGCGGTTCGTGATCACAGATTGAATCCTTTCTTAGAGCCCCAGCCTATTGGCAAGGCGGCAGGGATTAAGACCGAGCCAGACCGGGTTGAGAGAGAGAGTCGAGAGAAGCTCCAGCCATGTAGTACGTACCTTAGCTTCTTATCCGTACTGGACTTACACAGTAAAGGCTCATAACTTGCGGAGTACGGAGTACATACACAATAGGAAATAGGAGAGCTGCTTACCGCCTTGAAAAGAAGCGAGAAAAAAAACTAAGCGTGCTAGGTGGCCAGGTATAAGCAGGAGTGAAAAAGAGGAGAAGATGGCAGCATCGGACGACAGCAAACGGTCCTCCCACCTTCCCTTCCATGGAACCCATAGTTCCATAATTCCACTGGCGTAGTGGATCTGGACCGGGCCAATTCTCCATTCTGGCAAGCACAGCCCATGGAGCAACTTGACTGATTTGGGAACATGGGAAGCAACGCCCCAAGATTGAGCCCATCTGACAGGCACGCACGATTCGTCAACGGTCTGTTGCAATTTCCGCCATTGGCCAATGGGGCCGCCGTGTGTCTGGAAAGAGCGGGACAGCGCTGGGAGCCGCCTTGAAACGGCGCCGATTATTGGGCGGCCGTTGGTCGTTTCCCAACTAAGCTCATCGACCCCCTGCAGGGGCTTGTGGTCCGTGAGCTCGTGTGCAGGAGCAGCAGCCAGGAACGAGCGAGAGCTCCTGCTCCTGTTCCTGGATTCTGCCGGCTACCTAACCCCCTGACCTAAGTCTGGCTCTTGCCCTCTCTACGAAGTACTCCGTACATACCTTCTTGCCTTTGTGCCTTCCTCCTCTGAACCTGGGCGGCTGTGACGACAAGCTGGGACTCCCCTTTTTCAGTGCAATCTGGACTCGCAAATCAGCATCCACTGTGGCCTTGTGCAAGTGGATCCATTGGATAGAACACGCGATTAGCGTCGTGGTGACATCCATTTCGAGAAGGAAGGTGCGTCCTTCGTCAGCAATACCTGGCCAGGTACTCCGTACCATTGTACCATCAGCCTTCAAGGCAACAAACAAATGGCAACTTTGAGAATAACAATGCAACGCCCGTCGAGAACATGAACTCTGAATGCTCTCGGATTCGCCCGACCAGACTATTGCTTCTCAAATCTCTTTTCGCTTCTTACCTCCCGTCCAGTCCGCTTCCTCCTCTGCCGCCCTCCTCCTGATATCATCACACCGAGCTATAACACACCGGCGCCTACGGCTATTTGTCTCCCATCAGAGACACAACCACTTACCGAGCGAGCAAAAAAGCTGCCAGCTTAATCCCTCTTCTGCCCAGTCTGAATGTCTCCGGGTATCCGTACCGTCGTCTACTGTCGGACTGACAAAGTTGTCCGTCCCAATGCGGTCTTGGCCTCTCCCGGGGCCCCACGAATGCAATCATTCAACATGTCAAATCAGGTTTGCTGCTTGCTGGCTCTCTCCCAATTCTAGAAAGACTTCATTAATCCATTCCGCAGTCTCCCACCCTTTTGGCGGCGGCAACCTCCCGATGCCAGAAATAGCGTCGGAGCTCCAGCAGCCACCTGGTCACTCCATGCCAGTGGGGCCTGAGACCCGCACCATCATCTCTGGCAAAGCGAGAGCCTCGTGGCCCACGATGGCCCCGTTGCCCTACACACGAGATTACGAGCTCGTGAATGGACTCTTCCAGTCTTCCACGCCTACCGCGACGCCGCCTGCGAGACTCGTACATACATAATCCAAAATCCTGCCCGGCCCGTAGCGATCTAAGCATAGCCTTTTCGTCCGACTCCGCCTGCCGGCTCATGTTGTCGCAGATCATCCCTTTCGGGACCGTCTACGAGATTTACTGGAATTGCTGTTGCCCCTTGGAGACAAACGAGAGTTTTTCATCTCGTTTGTTATGAAGCACCGTTGCATTGTTCAATGCAGCGACCACCTCTTATCCCACAGCCCCTGCCCCTCCTGGTCCAATGCAACATTGACAGCTTGATACCGAACATACCGAGGATGTGGTCCGAGCTACAAGAGGCGCTCTTTTGTGGCGCAGTCCACCAGGATCCACCACGGCGCCACAGAGAGACGATTCACGCCTCTGCTCGCCTGGTTACTCCTACTATCTTCACTATTCGTCTTGATATCATGTTGACAAGTCACTCAAGTGGGATGGTCAACATATGGTGGCTCGCATAGCTGACCATCGATGCGGAGAAGGTATTCGATCCGGGAACATCAACGCACATAGGCGGCACCGTTGAGAGGCACGACCCATGTCACTGCCCATTGTCCTTGGGCCATGTCTGCTCAAGTTTGACACGTACAAGCGTGCCATCGTGGCCTCTTCGCGGGAAACTTGAGCTCTTTTCGACCACAGCCGTAGCTTGACTGGAGACAACACCGTGGGCAATCTCGCAATCAGGCGTCTTCTGCTGCGATGCCCTTTGGTGAGGTGCCCAATCAGGCACGAGTGCCCAACGACGTCTTGAGTCTCCTAGAGCAGTCAAATTGGCTCAGAATTATAACGAAGTTTGCTAATATTCGCTCAGTACGGATCCCAGCACATGAGGCGGTTCACCCGTGGTGCTCTGGCGTAAAGGTAGCGGCGACGGCTATATCATATCCGGCAGCTTTATCCTGCGGATACGATATATGCAACGACACCGAAGCAGTCTGACGACAGGCGGTGATTCTGCGCAAAAGGACCATTCAGGCCATGCCTCACCCAGCTGTCCTGCCTTGGTCTCAGGATACGGTGTATGCAACAACACCGAAGCAGCCTACCTCAATGGGCGGTGAAGCAAAACATAGCCTGCTCGAGTACCAAAGACAGTCTGCACATCCCAGCTTGGCTAGTAAAGATCGTCTGCCATCGCTGCCGGCTTCAATCCAATGAACTCGCCGGCCACATTTGTCCAGAAACTTCGCGAAGCACAGCAGATGTCTGAAGATTGGGCACCAGGTACTAGGCAAAGGTTTGATTGGCAGGCATCTCCAGTACTCTGATCACGACACACAGGACCTCGACTCGAGCAAGTCCAGAGGCAAGTGATCAGGTCTGGTCTTGAACCACCAAGTTCATACAAAATCGACTACATACGCATCTACAAGTCAGCGACAACGTCCCGATTCTCGGTTGACCTTGCACAAACGCAGCTAGCCGTCGCAGTACTGCAAGAGCCCCCGCGTTCACCACCAAACCTCGGAGACGATGAACATATTATGTGCCAGACTAATCATAGCAGGAGGCGGTGTGGCACTTCTCGCCAGCACAAGTGTCACAACATCTTGTGGGTAAGGCATCGACCATCTTACAGTCCTTGGACATACCTACCCTGCCTGCCTTCGTACGAATCTCTGCCGGCCACATCGATATTACACAGCGGCGAGCGACTGCACGATCGGACTACTTTGCCCCAAGTGTCTCAGCAAAAGGTTGCCGGCAGGTGGCTTCGTTGAGGAGCAAGTCCTGTTGACCTCTCTTGCGAAGAAGCAACTCTGAGGCGGTCAGCGACTTGGCCGGCCGCGCAATATACTTCTAGCCAATGACTGTACTCCAAGTCATCCCGACATACAATCGAGCATGCCCACAGAACTCCCGACTCTCCATGAGCAGGGACTCAATGACAATGAATGTTATCAATATCGTGGACCGGATCTGCTGGCTAGCGCCTCCGCTTAGGAATGAGCGACTTGGGGATGCTCCGTCACTTGGCGCTGGCGGTGGCCGATCAAGGCCATTGTAATTGGAAGGCAACGACGCGCCTTATTGCCCAAGCAGGTTTACCAACTTGCAGACGAACTTTCAGGTAGGCTTCGCCGCTTCGCGATAAAATTTCGGTATATTGAAAGCGGGGAATGCTTGATTATCGTCCTTGCTTTTTCTTACCCTCTTCAGGCATATTTTTGTTTTTGTAGGATGTCTTGTGGCGCCAGAACCCCGGCGAAGATCACATGGTCAGCTTCGTCCGTAGGCTACCGACAAGTAGCCTAGCCAGTGGCTACTCATTGCGCAAAAGGAAACCTCCAAACTGGTCAATACGATGGAAGAAGAGGCTCCTCCTTCAACAGCAAAGCGAGAAGGTTCATGGGCAGTGATAATATGAGCGCACGAAACCCCATCCGGCATTGTCCAGCCACTTACCACGACCTCCAAGAGCAATCAGCCCCCAGTGATTCACGCCTCCATGCAATATCGCACACATTCGAGATAATCACCAAGCCGCTAGGCCTTGAATTTGGGATGCGACAGCTCGCAGCCTGCAGTACTGGGCATGCGATGTTGAGGAATGTCGATCCCTGCCGTGACCTACTTCTCAGCGTGCCATCGTCCAATGAGACCCTGCCCGGGACCGTCAAGGAGGAATGTGGACGGACCAGGCCGCCTGGAATGAAAAGCAGTCGTGACTGGCTCGTTCAAGCCGGTAGAGTTGAAACACTGAAACAACGACAACCCCGCCAGAGTGGACCAAGACTAATCCGGGGTGAACACACTCAAACTTCGGGCGGTCTTTTGGGGTATTTCCTTGGGAAGGGGGAGAAAGGTCCAGTCTCTTTGGAGTTTCATGAAACCCCGTCGGCTCGAATAGAGAGGGGAGGTCATTTGACACCCTTTCCTACTCCTTGCACACAGCGATTCCTCATAGACTGCCGGCAGAGGCAGAGCGGTATGACACACCAGTGCACTTTGTGAGTACCAGTGTTGCACCCGTGGGATGTCGCAAAGCAACGCTCAGCAAACCAGAAAGCACCTTGCTCAGTATTAGCCTTTGATGGAATGGACGAGCGGTTGGCGGCCACCGTCCTGAGTGAAGACGAGCTACGAACAAAACATTGATTCTAACCACGAGGACAAATCCACAATCAAGACCATGGCTTTCTGCCCGGAGCCGGGCCCTGTCTTTGACATCTTCAAAGGGGGCGAGGGGGTTGCGCCCCAAATGCAGTGTGACGCTGCGTGAGAATTTGCTCGTTGGAGATGAACACAAACAAGCGAAGGGCGAGCGGGAGCAACTTGACGCGCGCGGGTGTCTAGAACAAGCCCTTGCCAGCCCGTCGACTTGGATGGTAATTCATGGCGCCTTGAAGTGAAGTGCCTTTACAAGCACTCTTGGTTGCCATGCTGATGGGACCGATGTAGGTTTGACAGGGCGTGTTGGGACGGACGGAGAAGCTCAGGGACGAGATGGGCCAGATGGCCGGCCCCGTGGACCGGTTCGTAACCAAGCGGAAATGCTGACGGGCTCATTTGTTCAGCCGAGGGATGGCGGAACAAGGACGTGCCAGCGCGCCCACCAGCAACATTACAGCATTCCGACATGGATTTTCATCAGAATTGCGTTCCAAGAGCCATCAGGTCAACGAGGAACGAAACAAGTCCACGATATCCTCGAGGACTGATTGTCCTCGTTGTTTTTTTCTTCTCTCTAATTCCCAGATCATTGTCACACCCACCGCCTGCTCTTCCGTACACCCCTTGCTTGACATCTTTGGAGACCAAAGCAAGGCTTACACTTGGCAAACAAGCACGAGAATGTTTTGTTTCTTGCCTGTCATTAAACGACCGTCGACGTTGAAAATCTGGCAACGACTCGCGGTACTGACGGCAGCAGCCTGGTGGATTCATCATGTATTGAAAACACGAGCCATGGTTCGAACTGTTTCCTCAGCTCGCACCTGTCCACCATGCCCCTACGTCTGCCAATCAGGGTGCCCTCCTTAGAAGACTTGAAGGTATGCGAATCTTGGAAATCTTCAACCGAGGCACACCGCGAGGGGAAAAGTGCTGATACTTCAAAGTTACAATCAGAAGCAGGACGGCACGAGTGATGTGAGGCGTCAAGGTAAAGGAAGGAAAATAGGCAGCTTGGCTTGTTGCAGAATTAAATCGCCCAACTTGGAAGGCAAGCGCTGCCTATCCTAGACAATAACGTAACGAGGCGACACAGGACGGGGCTGCACGCGACATCGCACAAGAGTCTCTTTCTCTCTATCATCTATGGTCGTACGGAGTACAGCTACACATTTAAACACGCTGTTTTCAACGGACGGGCAACCGAAGAAACGTACGCTGAAGAAACGAAGCGCCGTTGATTTTTGTCCACTCTTCGTGTGGCCTGTTTCGCTTTCTCGAATCTCAGAGACTTGGCCGTCGTTTCTGCCCCAGAATCCCTGAAGATCATACACGGAACTCGGCCGGAACATAGTCGCAAGTACATTTCCGGCACATATCGCCGCCCCCTGATCCTAATCGCCCACGCCCCCTGAAGCCTTTGGAGTCTGGACAGGAAATCAGACTCGACACGGCGCAGTGACAGCAGGACGGCATTGGACGCGACCAGGGAAAATCCGGGGTTGTGGCAGTTTGGAGCCGACCTGTCAAGCCTCAAGCCACGGTTCACCTGGGATGCCATCATCACTACTATCCTCATCATCCTCAACAGCCACCGTTAGGCAGACAACGACAAGTTTGCTCGCCGCTCACAAGACGAGAAAACAAAATCTACAAGCCGCGGCTGGCCGCACTCGTCATCGAGCAGTCTTCTCTTACACAGTGACCCACCCAGCTGCTGCAGACTTGTGGTTCCCTCCCTACCCTAGTCAGGCTTGTTCTCCTCGCTACGCCGTACGAATTACCTTGACCCTGGGTGCCTGGTTTTGATCCTCCACAAGCGGTGCTGCTGCCCAGTGCCGCTGCCGTCCTGTTGAGAAATTGAGCTTTATTATTCTCTGCTACGTGTGCTGCACGACAACGACAGTAGAGAGGCGAGCAAAGCGACATCGTCGGGGTCATGTTGCCTGGGTTGTTGATTACATCACCTGCGGATTACACTCAAGGCACGATACCACGCAAACCGCGGGCTGCAAGCAATCAATTACCCGCGCAGTGTTGTCTCTCAACAGCAGCCTTCCCCTTGTCCGTATTATCTCGCCTGCATTGATCATCGCGCCATCCGTCCCGGACCCCCATCAACATCGGCCCAGCTCCAGCTACAGCCTACGGAGTACAGCTCATCAGTGCAGTGGAGGTCTTCGAGAAGTTTTGAGAAGAGCAGAGAGTCCGTTTGCTTAGCCAGGAAGCGAACCATCTGCTGACGCCTCCACTGGACAGAGATCCGTCTGCCGCGCAATATAACTCACTCTCAGAACCAGCCAGGCTCAGTGGTGTCTGCATCGCATCCCAGTCGCATCCATTCTCTCGTGTCTCCGTCCACGAGTGCTCCCCCGAACAAACAGACCCCCGTCAGACGCTAAAAAGGACGGCAGACCCCCTTCTTCTCCCCCGGCAGACGGGGCTTTTTTGCTCTTGACTCGTCTCGTCCTAGCGCATTCCCGTCCGTGTGTCTCCCTCGATTGGACTCGCCGCCTGTTGTTCAGCCCAGATTCCTACAGAGGTCGAGACTCGAGACTCTGGAGCCAGCTCTCGGACGGCCAACGGTACGGCGCCTCGCTTCAAAGGACGAAGAAGCTGGCCGCCAGCCTGTTCTATCTGATCTTATTCTTGAGGCAGCATCCATCATTTGAGGGTAGATTAAGACTGAGATCTCGCCGATCAGCGGTGACTCCAGGGTACGACGTACCCGTACATACATTACTCCATATACCTCCTCCACGACGTTCACCATAATCTACGGATATTCGTACGATTTCAGACAACAAAGTCCTTGCTCCGCTTCGTGTCTTGAATGACCTGCAGGCCCTAGCTCTGCTCGTACGTACGGACACGCTACGGATACAACTACGGGCCAGTCAAGCCAGTGTCTCCCGTGCCTGGCCTTGGTCCCGTCTGTCTGTCTGTCTGTCTGTCTCGTCTGTCTCTCTCTCGTCTGCTCCGCAGTGGCCCACACTCCCGGCTCCGCGCGCTGCATCTGCATTCTCGCATCGACAAGCCAAATTGCACACCCGGCGCCTTCTACCTGCCTGAGGACCGCCGAACCAGATAAGCGTGGACACAAGACGACGGCGTCAGATTCACGTTCCCAGGTACCCGAATGACCAGGCCTGCGTTGTTCTCTTTGCTCTCCTCCGGGCGGAAATCGCCAGCGAACAAATTGCACAAACGAAACGGTCCCAGCCCAGACCCTCTCTTTTCGCCGTGATTTACGTGGTAAACAGCTCCGTCGGTCTGCTGTCTTTTTACAGCTTGTTTATCCTAAAGTGCTGCAGCACCTGTATCAGCAGAAGCGCAGCACCAATACCAGTACGGAGTAGCAGCATCACAACCACATCCACGATCTACTCGGTCTTGGTACACGCAGTCTGCGAGAACTCTTGGCCCATTCAAGGACGGCCACTTTTGTGCTTGTCTGCTCTGCGGCTTGCCCTACCCTTGCCGAGCCAAAGGTAACGTCAAGTACCTCGCCTTGGGTTTGGTACCATTGCAACATCAACGTCTCTCCCTGTCGTGCCTGTGGCCAGCCGTCGGAGACCAATCGCAAACCGCCATTCCAGTCCAAAGGACCCAAAGAGAAGGGCTTCAGAGGCTTGCCGCACCTATCCACCATTTCTCTGACTCTATTTTATCATCTTGGGAACCACCACGCCTCGTTGCGGTTTTCCTCGCCTCTTCTTTTCAGTCCGCATCGTTTGTTTGTGTGAACTCTTGTCTGTTTCTACGTCCATCATCTCCTGCCCATATTTGGACTTTTTTCTGGCAGAGTTGATCCCCAGGAACATATCTCTCGGGGCGTCCAGCATCGACTCTCTAGTAATTACACACACTCGCATACTCACACACCACAAACACGCACACACAAGCAACGCACTCACACCAGCCGAGGTACCTAGAGGCTAGAGGGAGGCTAGGAGCGACAAGAACAAGAAGCACACACGCGACAGACTGCATACACCATTCGTCCCGACTTGTATCGACGTTTCGAACCCCGGGGACTTGTACATTGCTTCCCGCCACGCACTTGATACCTGTTGGCCCGTTTTCTCTCGACAACTCAACTCAACCGCTCCTCTGAGAGCCCGTACCTAGCTGCACCCAGGTCCCAGGACAATCAATCAATCGGTCACTCACTCTGTCATTCATCGTACGGACCGCCGTCTCCGCAGATACATAGATTGATTGGACGTCAAGTCCTGTTTGCCTCCACCGTCGATACCTGTCTGCGCCCACTTCAGCCCGTACTTTGTCAACAGCCAGGTCGCCAAGGTGCCCCGATACCTCAGCCCTCTGAACGCACGCATAAACCGTCCATTCAAGACGTCTGCAAACGAACATTTAGCCTTTTTGTCAAGCCGCACATCACATCATTTGGAGACGAACACTCTTCGCTCACCCACATACGCACAATCCCAAAAAGAACGCATTGCCCCCTTTGGCACTCTACTCTGTGACCTGTCGTCACCACCTGTCCAAACTTTCAATATCCGTACCTACCTTGGTGGAGAGGAGCAGAGGCAGGCAGCCAGCAAAACTAGGCCAACCACGAGTACCTACGGAATATCTACTTACTAATTAATAGATACCTAAAGGAAGAAGACAAGAGGAGGCAACGAAGAGGCAAGAAACCGCAAGGCAGCAATAGGGAATTTGTAGTCCCCTCTCACACACGCACACACTCTCGACCCTCGAGTCTCTCGCTCATTTTCTCTCTCGCAAGATAGATAGGAGCACAAGATTTGGTAAGTTCGGCGCAAAGTCTCGTCTCTCGTCTTTCAGTTGGATCCAATAACAGGGCCAAACTATCATTGCCCCTCCCCCCCTTGTCTGCCTATTCTGATCTTTCCCATCTCATTCTCCCGTCCTTTCGCCTCCCTCCTTTCCCGCCTTCATTGCTTGTCTCTACTTTACCTTGCACCCTATTCATACCGTCACCTACCTACACAGAGTTGAGCACCTTGGCAGCCACCCCCAAAGCAAGAAAAAGAGGTACGATAATTACCGGCAAGAATGTGTGTGTGTCGTTTCCATCCGTACCTGGCCTCACATCCCCATCCCTCGCATGACTGACCCCTTCCCGTCTGCCATCCATCAATCAATCCTTCCCGTCGGTGTCTACCATGGTGTCGTGGGTGTCTACCTACCTTGTTCTTACTGCGTTTGCGGCTTTGCCTCCCCGAGTTGTGTTGTCGGGCCCCCTCCCCTTCTTCCCACGGCTCCATCGTTTAACTCCCAGGGCCCCCATCTTCAGTCCCGGTCCTAGACCCAGTTCCCAGTCCCAGTCCCAGTCCCAATGCACCCCCGGTCGCATCCCTGACCCCTCGACTCCTCAAGACTGAGGAGAGAGAGAGGGGGGGAGAGAGAGAGAGATAGAGAGAGACAGAGAGGGAATAGAGGACCACTTCGGGGCAGTTGGGCCACACCCAAGACAAGAAAGCTCCATGTCAGCTCCCCTTCAAACCCCCCCCTCTCACCACCCTCCTGTCCTTCCGCCCCGTCTCCGTTCTCCTCAGTGGATGCCTCCTCCGTCTAGTCCATCTGCAAGTCGCAGCTACTGCAGCTCCCACACGAGTCTCCAGTCTTCAAGTCTCCTAAGGCCAGGCTTTAGGTCAAGTCTAGGTCCAGCTGGTAGCCCACGACTTTCCCAAAAATTCCAGGGTGCACTTGTCCTCGATATTGGATTGCGCAAAAAAAATCTCCTACAAAGTTATTAGCTGCCCGCTCCCGTCTTGTCCATCGCCCCAGCCGACCGCGGGCGCTCCATCAAACAATCAACCTAATCAGCCTTACCAGCGACGCTTGACCTGTCGGGTGTTTTCTGTTGCTCTCTCGCCTTCTCTGTCTACATTTATCACTGTACATTTTTTTTCTTCCACATCAACAAAAGAGTCTCTTGTCGCTTCTTTACATACGTACCTTGACAGAGTACTCCCGTACATTATCCGTACTCCTCCCTCTTCGTCATCTCTCGCCCTCATCCTCGCCCGTCCTCACATTCCTCCATCCCTCCCATCCCGCTATTGCTCTCCCACATACCTTGCCTCTCGGAAGAGCCCACTCGCTTTGTTTCTTTCTACATAATCAAGTACGCACCTGCACCCTTATCCCTCACCTTGGTCTCCTCGCCTCCCTCCCTCACGACCAAAGCGGGCAAACCCTCTCCTCAACAATCAACCCTGTGCTTCGCGCTAGAAATTCTGCCCCCCCAGTCTGCCTGGTTTTGCTGACGCCCACCGTTCTCCCTTCGTTTTTTAGTCCGCGCGCCATAGACGATTCCTGGAGAAAGTTCCTGTCGCAAGAAAAAGTTTACACCTACATCGTATATAATTCACCAGCGGAAAACCCAAAACCTCCCACAAGCAGCTGCGCCCTCGACGTGTGTGTGCAGCCATTCAACCTCTGCGTCCTCGCTTCTCGCCAGCCACCACAGCGCGCCTCTGTGTGACAGAAAGACCAAAGAGCAGCAAGCAGCAAGCAAGGTGCATCCGATCTCACCACTGCAGCCGCGAACTTCCCCCCCTTCGCCGCACCAAAAAGTCAACCTCCGGGAACCCTCGCTCCTCCTCTCCGCATCCCCCGGACACTCGACCGCATCTTCTGCAACCGTCTCTCCTGCGCAGAGACCGACCACCAACATGACCACCACCGTAAGTCGCTGCCCCGTTTACTCCACGTGAGGTCCGATGGGGGTGAGCCCCGGGTCGCGAAGATGCGAGCGCGCGGCCGTGTGTGTCAAGACTGCGCTTCCCTAGCGCCCTCATGGCCTCTTGGCTCGAGTCGCCAATTCGGCGCTCGGAACTTCGCCTAGACCTGGCAAACAGCTCAAAAAAAGCTTGCCTCGCGCCTTACTTTCTCTTCTGCTGTTCCTTTTATCCTACACCGATGGCTGCCACTTTGCTAACCTGCCACGTTGTCCAGGCCCGGCCAGCAGGTCGATACGGAAGCTTCCCCATGGCAAACGGCCAGAACGAGAAGCCTGCTCCCGGCGTCGCCCCCGGCTTCGGCAGCTCCAACTTGTACACGCAAAACATCTGGAACACAACGTACACAGGAGGCGCCGGAAAGAGAGATCCCAGAGGTACGTTTGGCCAGGACGCTGATTGATTGATGTGCCTCGGACCGGGACGCTGACTTTTGTTATTGAACAGGCCCAGAAGACAGCTTCGCTGGACAGCCATCAGGGTCCGGTGCCCTTGCTGCAAACTCGGAGGCGGACACGTGGACTCAGAATCCTTGGAACCAGGACACCCAGACTCGATCAGCATCAGGCAGCACCTCGCCGAACCGCACACGCGATAGCATTCATAACAGCAATTCCTTCTTCGACAATAACGCCGTCGGTCAAGGACGCAATCTCATCAATGGTCGGCCGAAATCCTACCTGGAGGAGGACAAGGACAACACAGGCTTTGGGCCTAGCTACGGCAGCGCCTTTGATGGGCCGTACGCAAGGCAGGAGAAGCGAGGTTCCAAAGACAATGCGTATTTGAACCTTGGTGTTGTGGGTGCTCCCTCGAGAGACAGCAGCATTCCTCCCTCGCGCCAGTCGGACGACTCGCACCATTCGCCCCCTGCCTTCCGAGACAACTTTGGGGGGTATGGTCACACTCCCAGCAACTCCATTGCCTCGAGCCGTCCTGCCATTCCTGGTCACTCTTCCTCCTTCCCCACGCAGACAACCAACAACAGGGCCTTTATGGCCAACGGCAGACAGATGGACGAAACGGACCTTGCCCCGCAGTTCAAGAAATCTCTCACTCTCGACGAGGCCCAGAGCCTCGCCGCCGGTGCGCAGAACTTCCAATTCAACCCGGTGTCTCAGCCCTGGAGGGGCGACATGAACGCCGCCATCACTGGCGACATGTACGTTGACGCCATGGCTCAGTACATGGCGCCAAAACGCGGTTCCACCGACCGCATCGCCGGTGCCTCTGGTCAGTACCGGGTTGTCACTAGCCCCAAGACATATGCGCCTCAAGCATCCGACCTCTGGACCCAACGGCCGTCGTCCCGCGATCTGAGAATGGTCCCGGATGGCGACCGCCGAACGCCGGTTCCAGCTTTCATCCAGGCGCAGGCTCCCGCGTTCTACCCTGGTCCCTACTACACCCCTAACTTTGCAGGCCAGTACCCCCCGCAAATGTTCGACCCTTATGGGCGTCCATCGCTTCCTCTGCCCGGTTACGGTTTGCACATGTCGCCGTACTCGATGCCGGGAGTGATGCCCGTCCGGCCTAGCAAGGATCAGGACCCTGGCAAGGGCGTCCGCAGCTTGCTCCTGGAGGAATTCAGGTCCAGCTCCAAATCGAACAAGCGGTACGAGTTGAAAGACATTTACAGCCACATTGTCGAGTTCAGTGGCGACCAGCACGGATCGCGCTTCATTCAACAAAAGCTTGAAACTGCCAACAGCGACGAGAAGGATCAGGTATTCCGCGAGATTGAGCCCAACGCCATCCAACTTATGAAGGATGTCTTTGGCAACTACGTCATCCAAAAGTTCTTTGAGCACGGCAACCAAGTCCAGAAAAAGGTTTTGGCGTCACAAATGAAGGGCAAGGTCGTCGACCTGTCCATGCAGATGTACGCCTGCCGCGTTGTCCAAAAGGTGTGTACACATTCGCGTAGAAAAAGTGGACGAAGCTAACAATTACAGGCTCTGGAACACGTTCTTGTCGAGCAGCAGGCCGAGCTGGTTAAGGAGCTGGAGCCCGAGATCCTCAAGGTCGTCAAGGACCAGAACGGTAACCATGTTGTGCAAAAGATCATCGAGCTGGTTCCTCGCCAGTACATTGACTTCGTCATGGACGCGTTCCGCGGTCAAGTCAGCCAGCTGGCGGCTCACATGTACGCCTGCCGGGTCATTCAGCGCATGTTAGAGTACGGCACAGAGCAAGACAAGGAGACCATCTTGGCTGAGCTGCACAACTCGACGCAGGTCCTCATCACCGACCAGTACGGCAATTACGTCGTGCAGCACATCATCGAGCACGGCATGCCCGAGGACCGATCGAGGATCATCCAGCTTGTCATTGCACAGCTGGTCACCCTGTCCAAGCACAAGTTTGCGTCCAACGTTGTGGAGAAGTGCATCCAGTACGGTAACGCGGAAGAACGCAAGGGTATCCGGGAGCAAATCATCTCACAGGCGAGCGATGGAACAAGCTCGCTCCAGTTGATGATGAAGGACCAGTACGGCAACTACGTCATTCAGAAGCTGCTGAACCAGCTTGAGGGTGGCGAACGCGAAGCCTTTGTGGAGGAGATGCGACCTCAGTTCCAAACCCTTCGCAAGACCAGCACCAGTCGCCAGCTTGCCGCCATTGACAGGCTCATCTACGCGACGACGCAGACGACGCCGTCCAAGTCTGGGGGATCCCAGGCCGACACCAACTCGGCCGCACCAACCCCGGTCCTGACGATGGAGCCTAACAGCCCCCAGAGCAGCAGCCCGCCCAGCACGAGCGCTAGTGCTGTTGGCGAAGTTGCCGAGGACGACAACAAATCCAGCGCGCCCGGAGGTGTCAGCCTCAAGGTGCAAGTGGAGGAGGCCTGATAACAGTACACGAAATATTTTTGCGATGACGGCGTCTACGGTTGCTTCGGACATGCATCACGACACCAAACGGATTTGACGATCCCGGCCGTGGGTTAACGGTTCCACGTGCCAGACTTGTTTGAAAGAGAAAAAAAAAGTCGACGAACACCTACCTAATTCTGTTTACACATACCTGATCTGAATATGCAAACCCAAAAAAATCCCACATACATGGCTGGAACACGGTCACAACGGTAGAAAAATTGCTTGGACAAATATTCGGGGAAAGACGGGGTTCCCAAAAACGGACATGATTCTCTGTTGCCTTTTGGTTGCAAGTTTTTTCTGGTCTTCCTTTATGCAAAGTAATGAGTCTGGGTATCTCTGAGAGCGATTGGGAGGGTTATCACAGGAACGATGGCTGAGCGATACGAATCGAACCTGGAAGGCGGCCGGTGGAATTGAGGTTCCCATCCGGGGGGTTTTGTCGGGTTCACAAAGGGGGCATCAGGGCCGGTCATTTTGGGGCGCAGTTGATTTTATCCAGTCTTCTTGTATTTTATTGAATTCTTCGTGTCTAAAGCGATACTAGTCTTAGTCTGACGGATTAGACCTGTCAATAGACGTGAGAGTATGGAATGTTTCAGATGATCTGTCTTTATGCGTGTCTGAAGAAAGGGATCCGTTTGTTGTACTCCATCAAGGGATTATTTGCTGTGCACAGCATTCAGATGACCTCGATGCTGAGTGTAAGTCCTCGGTAGATTTTCCGTGGTTTCGGCAACGGACCCGACAGCGAGGTCGGCATCGGGAATGCCTTAGATAAGCGACAGGGATCCACACCAATGACATCAGGGGGACAACACCCTCCAGACCGGTACTAAACGTCGGGTTCCTGAGCTTAGCCTCCGACATTGGATCCCGTGCCCCCACGTGTCCAAGCATCGTGGAAATTAAGTAACGGGTGCATCCGCTGCCACTTTACTTTCCCATTTCCCACCCCCAAATTTCCCAATTCCCTTTTTTTTTTTCTTTTTTTCTTGACTTTTACAACAACCACAACACAACTAGACGATCGGGACACGGATACACATGATGCAGCCTGCACGATTGACATTCCTCTATCCGCACCTATTCCGGACGATACGCGCCGGCGAAACGGCGACGACGACGACAAGCCGCGCGGCGGCGAAATCATGTCGGAGACGGACTCCAACCGATGTTCGGAGACGGGGGTACGCCGCGTTCGCGCCTACGCCTGGGGCACAGCAGTCGGGTTTCGCGCCGAGACATGGCAAGGGGATCGAGCCTGTGCCGACGGCGGGGACGACGATACCGCCGGTGTCGGTGCCCGTGCCGGGGAGTGAGGGGGGAAACGAGGCGGCGAGTCCCGGGCAGGCTGCGGTCGGGGCGTCCAAGGGGGCGAGCGATGACGGGGTGAATCCCAAGACGGCGGCTTCGTCTGCGGCGGCTGCGGCGGCGGCGGGGACAGCGGCGGCGGCATCGAACACGGCATCGAATGCGGCGGAGAACAACGCGGCGAATGTGACGGCTGCTGCGTCCGGAGAGCAACAACCTCCCGAAGAAGCAGAGGAAGCCAAAGCCGCGAAGCAAGAGGCCCGCGACCAGGCAAAGAAGAGCGGGCCCCTCGAAGCCATCCTCCACATGGGACCCCCCGAACAAGTCGCCAAACAACACCCGCACATGGCGCCCACCCCTTACGTACACCATTTCGACAGCTACTCTCTCGTCAAAGACCTCGAGGGCGGCGGGTACAGTAAAGACCAGGCCATCACTTTGATGAAGGCGATCCGGGCGATTTTGGCGCAGAACCTGGATGTTGCGCAGGAGAGTCTGGTGAGCAAGAGCGATGTGGAGAATGAGACGTATTTGTTCCGGGCGGCGTGTTCGGAGCTGAGTACGGAGGTGAAGAATAATCAGAAGCTTGCGGATGAGGAGATGAGGCAGAAGAGGACGCTGCTGCAGCACGAGGTTGATATTTTGACGCAGGGGTTGAATCAGGAGTTGTTGACGTTGAATGATAATGTTAGGGGCATGTTCAATGATCGGAAGATGGCGGTGAGGGAGGAGCAGAAGGCTGGTGATAGTGTCGTGAGTATCTCCTCTACCCCTTTCTCTGATGCCTCTTCAAAGGTTGAGATTTGTGATGTTGGCTAACACGATTGACCTAGATCCAACAAATCAACTACAAAATCAGCCTTCACCTAAGCAGCGATGCCAAATCTGAGATTGAGGGTCTGCGATGGATCTTGATCCGGCGGTCGGTGATTGGGATCTTGTTCATGGCGGTGTTGACGCTGGGCACGCTGCGGTACGGGACGTATGTGAGCCATTCGAAGCAGGCCGAGGCGGAGAGGATGAAGAAGCAGGCCGAGATGATTAAGATGGCGGATGGCAAGAGGGATCATAGCTCGGCGCCTGATGCGGCGGAGATTTTGGCGGCGAATTGAGGGCGGAGAGAGATGAGGTCGGAGGATGGAGGAACGTAGGGGGGCGAGTCAGGGACGGTGAGAAAAAACGGGAGAAGTCGAGGTGTGAGGAGTGAGGACCGAGGAGGAGGCGGATGAGTAGCGAAGGGAGGTCATGTTATGTGCCATGTCAAGGTGGCTTAGATACCCCAAAGATGCGTGGCAATGGGAACAACATATAGCTGAAACCACGGAAAGACGCTCTTGACCACTAGATGAGTGTGCAAGCAGCGAGGTCTAGACGTTATCGTAAGGCTCGATTTTGCTTTTCAGCATTGGCATATGCTGACGGGGTTTGGTACCAGAAATTCGGTCACTGCCTTGAGCACAGTCCCTATCGCGGTACTCTCGACTAATACCCTACGACTTGTCTCAACTGCTGGCCCCTATCATCTTTCTCTCATCGGCCACCCTCCTCGACATAGGCAAAGTAATCGGCTCAGTCCGGATCATTATTCGGCCAGCCGAGACCCAGCTTCACCTCCCCCTAGTCGCTTATGTTGGGCGTTGGTACAAGGATTAATGGATCATCTTCGCCATGGCGCCACAATGCATGCCGGTCTCTTCGGTCTCGCAGACCACTCTGGTCTCTCAACTAATACGGTAATGCATGGGGATTTCGGAAGACCTTAGCTTCTGCCCGCAGCTGCCTGCGTGCCACCCTCGCAGGCTTGGTTCCAAGCCACCACGGTTCATTTGAGAGAGTTGACGGCGTTGTCCGATAAATCCGGGCAGAATCATGTAGCGTCAAATGTACCCATGCTCGTGGCCAATGGGAGCTTGAGCCGTACAAGAAGCCTGACCTCTCAGGACGTAGGTATGTCCTACACATATTAGTGAGCCTTCTTAGCATGTCACATCGAGACTCAATCGACCGCTGGCGAGGGCGCACCAACAATGACCACCAAATCTCGTATTTTTCTAGATCAGCTCATCTGCAGAGTAGTGGCACCTTAACCCCCCTTCCCCAAATCCTTATCCCCCTTCCCCAAATCCTTCCCCCCACCCTCCTTCCCCCGTCTCTGCTTGGGAGTGAAAAAAGACTCGTCTAAGTACTGAAATGAATCTCACCGAGGGTTGCTTTCGCGTGGTCAGCGCATTATTGAATTGAAGATTTGGAGATTGTACAGGTTCGTGTCGGCGTTCTGTCAGTGTCGATCTGGTGCATCTGCTAGTAAGTAATCAAGATATACCAGTCAAGAAACGAAGACTTCGACGAGTATAGACATTGAAGTTCGATGATTTTGGCTACGCTGCTAATCTACGCTGAAGCACTCCGTGGCTGCCTCAGCCATCATGGTCACGTGTAGCGGGGGATTACGTTGGTTGTCCTACCTTCCTACCTTGCTACCTAGGTACTCGATCACTTCTCCACGAAACCCCTTGTTTTTGGGTCAGTGTAGGGTGGAGGTTCCCGTTTAAGTGGGTGACATAGCAGTTTTCCACTTCGCACATCTGGACATCTGTCGCACAATCAACATCACCACCATAAGCCTCTAATAAATATTTTCGAAAGTTACTTACGAGATGATACTATGTATTCTATCTGACGCGCAAGTTTGGAATTCAAGGGAAATAATGACGATGATGATATTGGTGAAAACAATTCTTCTCCGAATGTATAGACAGGAAACTATTTTGTCACGAGTTGCCGTAGTTCGGGGTATGGAGGTTACCATATCTGAAATGTATGGGTTGCTGTGACTCTTTTTCCGATGAGACAATTGGCAATTGGAGCCTGCAGTATGCGTATGCACGTCTCCAGATTGCCAGGGCTGTTGGAGGAACAGACCGTTGGGGGCGGCTTTCAGCCAGTGTTGCGGTTGCTGATGACGATGGGAATACGAATTGGGCGAAGAATGGGAATGGAAGAGAAGGCCCTGGCCCAGATACAAGCAACCACGGCATCAGGACATCAGGCACCAGGGAGGAACGGGCACTATAACCCGCACAGCGAACGCACTCCCCAAGGCTCAAACGACCTCTCTAGCGACGGGATCTTTCCCTCGCCTACTTGGCCTTGATGGAGGAGGAAGAGGGGGAGGAGGGGGAACAACTAGGTACCGAGCAATACGTGCCAAGCCGCGCCGATGATCAGAAGTGAGAACAGATACGACAGCTCCCACTGTCTGGGCCGCCAGCATCTTCCCGGCCGCCCCCAGTCGCGAGTTTCTTGTCCTCTCTCCCACCTTCTGTCCTCTGCGATTGCAACTGACAGCGACTGCTAAGGTACCTTACTCCGTCCCCGTCCCCGCGCCCGAACGAGACCGGTCGACTTACGAAGGAGGCTCGCAATCCTCACCACCATATCTTATTTAAAGTCGGCCACAAGAATGTTCGTTCACCGTCATTCTCCTAAAATAAGGAGCAGAATGGCACAGATCTCTCGCCTCGTTATCTATTTCAAGATTAACAACACCTATAGCTCGTCTCCCAAGCGCATTGAAATAGAACGCCAACGTCGTCATGCCCGCCGCAGGAACTGGAGCAGCTGCAACTTTTGGATGTCAAGCGCTCGGCTGTACAAGTACCTATTCGAGCCAATCCAATCTCAACAGACACATTAAGGCCAAACACGGCGTGTACGTCCAGATGCCTTGCGGCAAGCTGAGACAAGACCACGGTTCCAACTCCCGTCGTCACAAGTTGAGATGCCCGGATTGCCGTGCAATTCAGAGTCTGCCACCCCTTGACGCCAACTTGGAAGACCTCGACAACGCCATCGAAAGGGTTTGGAGAGAGTTAGACGATGCGTACAATGCTATTGCGGGTAGTCCTTACGGATTTTTCTAGTAAGAATCCTCTCCTTGGAATGCGAGGCTACTCGAATGAGTATACACCATCTAGCAGTTGACGGGGAAGTTGATGTATATACGTAAGTAGTGTTAATACCGGGACCTCGCTGACCCCTAACTAGGAGCTCTTGAGTCTACTTTTCTCTCAATCTGGAGCATTGATAGAGATATGGACATTTTTTAATATGTATTGGACGGTTATATCGTGTTGTGCTTAAGAGCAAGCGGCCTGTTTCTCATCTTCTTCTCCTTCTTAGGATTCCCTTTATTTGTTGTTTGGGCGATACATCGACTCTGGTGGTTCCCTTGTACCTATGTGAAACTATGGAGTCTATGATTAGTTACTCGAATGTACAAACTTTCTTGAAGATTCGGGTGTACCAGAGAGCAAATTCAAAGCGTCTTACCTTTTCAAAGTCTGGTTCCTGTGTTGGTGAATTTGCAGAGCACGTCAAGAACTGCGTGGCATCCAAAGTTTGTGTAAGTGCTGGTTGACGTTTTCGCTGATTTGATTGGTCTGAACCGGGAAGGCAATCGGCCCACGGGGGAATCATCCCTGTCGCTCAGCTTCCCTTCACATTTCGAGACATGATGTTTCTACCCAGTGATTTTTCGTTGATTAGACGTCGCATTAGGCTGGTCATCTTTGTGCACTTTGAAAGGTCCATTTCTTAGCGATAATATGCTCTCGAGCGTATGCTTTCAAACAGTTGCCTTTCCAGCAATCCCCGGTCCCGATTCGGCAAGGATCCTAGCATTAAGCTTAAGACAGCCGAGTTCACTTCAGATTCTAGTAGTCTACACTGAAATCGTGCAGAAGGTACACCTTAGGACACTGATTATTCATCCGTGACAATAGTCGGAGGGATGGTAGTTGAAGCTTTCCATCGGGAGGAAAGGATGGCGATAATGTCATTTCTGAGTGAGTGCAGCGCGAATGGGGAGCCAGGAGACGATACTGTAACAAATGTGGCTAATGTGATATTACCCGATAGATTTGGACAATTGAAAGTTTCATACATACAAGAAGTTATTGCTTTCGAGACTGGCTAAAGCCGTATGAGGACCTTTCGCTGACCTGGGATAGTCTGATAGTTGCCGTCTCAGGACAACATCACTGTGTCCAGACTTAGACGCTGGCCAAGTGGTCATCTGCAAGCCGGCCTTCCTCGACACGCCTAGTCGATGAGGTAAGGTCAGGCGTGATTATTGGGCTTTGTTTTGCCTCATCTGAATAACGCCTTCCGCTTCCGATCAGATGTCGGCATGTAACGGCGTTTCCCAGGATCAGGGGAGGCGCGCCATGTGCGAGGGAGAAATTCGATGTCTGGCCATACATGGTGGGACAAGGGTTGTGTCAATTGGATTCTCCCACCATTATCGACACGGGGAGCAGCTTCCTGGCCGCGCCTGAGGCGGGCACTGGGCAGGCCAGAGCAATGTATCTTACCCATCTCCGGCTTTCGAATTGACAGCGGGCCTTACATAACTGAGTGAGGGTCATTCCCAATTGTCCAACAGACGTCATGACGGAAATGGCAACGCGTGAGATCGTTGCCCGGCTTTCCACTCAGCGTACGGAGAGGAGCCATGGACGTACCAACGTATGAAGTGCACACATGGGCAAGAGGGCACGCCGCCCCGCACAAACCAGTAAATTCACACCCACAAATGCTCCGTACCGGCTGCGCATGTAGCGATTGGATGGAAAGAAAAGCCCACCGAGTCTTGTGTCCAGCGGCTTCATGCCTGGCGCACAGGTTCGGGTCTTTTGTCCGGGGGCACCCTGGATAAAATGCGGGAACTAGGCGTGTCTAGGGGGGCCTTCAACGTACTGGGTTTCTCAGGCCCCGCGGCCGTCATGTCGGACCCTTCCCACGACGTGGGACCTTGCGCCGCCGCATCCCTGAGCCTCTGTCCGGTGGGCAAGTGAGAGGATCGTCTTGCCGCTTTCGCAGCCGCTTTCGCCGCCGCATCTCCCTGAGCCTCTGTCCGGTAGGCAAGTGAGAGGATCGTCTTTCGTTTTTTCCGCCACCTCTCCCTAACCTCCTGTCCCGTGGGCAAGTGAGAGATTCGTATTGTCGCCTTCTTGCGCTGGTTTTCTTGGTGTATATGTGTTACGGCGCTCCCCAGCTTTCCCAGAGACAGGAGTAGACGAGCTGCGTCAAGCTTTCAAGTCTGTCTTCCCGTTACATATCGATAGCCCTCATAATACAGATTCGGCAGTGGACCGCGTCAAAATGCCTGTCCCCGAGGGTGTAGTTACCCCAAAATTACGCTGCGAAAAACCTGGCTGCGAGCTTACCAACTTTACTACTCGATCCAATCTAAAGAGGCACACCCGGTCTAAACACGGTACTTCTATTCCCATGTCTTGTGGTAGAACTCTTCAAAACCATACCTCGAATATTAAGCGCCACCAAAAGTCATGTGAGAAATCTTGCGCGGCTCTAGAGTCCTCGCCTTCCGATGGGCAAGTCGGCTCCGAATCACCTACAAATGCGACAACCGGTGCCACTGAGGCCCCGGACTTCGATTTCAACCACGGCTTCTATTCGGACGATTTTGGAGAATTGGAGTTTCTCAATGAGGATTTCACTTTCGGGGAGGATCAGCCAGAGTACCGCCCCTAGCACGAGCGAGTTCCTCGTTGCTCGACTGATGTGTGGTCAAATCAGACGTGAGCACGGAGCTCCCCGCTAGGAGAGGCAGTTGCGGCAACTTTGAATGTGGCAGGGGGACGTGCGATGAACCATGGACGTCTTATACCCCTTCCAAAGCTCTCTACCTATTTCATGTGTTTATACATTTGTTCTTATACCCCAATCGCTCTTTGAAATACACGAAAATCCGTCCATGCAACTTGCCAAAGACCAAATCAAAAGATTTCGGCTCAGTGACTTGATATGTTTGCGAACCCCACTGAATAAGAAAACTGAGGTGGGTCACCACCAAGGGCGAGTTTACACTACGACTTATCAAGGCCTGTGTAAGTGAGGTGGACCCCGGCATCCATCAACGAGACGTGACAGGGTTAGGTTGAGCTCTTGTTTCGTCATCGGCTCCTAACGTCGGATTCCGACCGCTTGTGTGTAGGTGAATTAGAAGTTCAAGAAGAGAATCCTTCACATGAGTGCCTTTATTTATTGCTACTGCACTATTTGTGCTTGATCAGCTACATGCGGGGCTGTGAGGCTTTCTTTAGCGGCACAGCGCACTGCCCAAGGTAACGTACCTTAGCAGGCGGGGAAGGCATCTCGTACCAAGGACAACGGGGCTTCAAATATTCCATACCTACACTCAAGTCTTGCATTACAAGCTTTCAATCAGTCGACGCCGAACGTTGGTTTCCGATGGCAATTAAGTCTGCCAGAGGCGAAGTACTAGAAGAGAGGACCCCAGGCGAAGACCGCAAAGTAACAGCGCTGCTGCGTTTCCTGATGTATATTTCAAGGCAAGCGGTGAGGTCGGCAGGCTTGGTAACCTCTTGACAGCTAGTAGTGATACAAAGATGCTTGTACCTACCTACCTACCTGCCTGACAACACTATTGAGGTACGTATTTACCTAGCTGAGCAACTGACCGTCAAGTGCAGCTCACAACAGTTTTCCCTTGCCAAGGCCGGGGGTGCCGGCGAGTGTGGGGCTGAGTCCTCAAAATTTCACCCTTTTCTGGCATGGCAGTTCATCGCCAACGAGGTATTCGCAACAGTGAGGAATCGATGTTTGAACGTACCCCTGCCATCCCTCCAGGCAGCGAGGTGTGTTGGGTGGCACCTAAGATGCCTACGTTTCTGGGTCGCGGTCATGGATACCTTAGGTAATACCTTACCGAGTCGTCTGATAGGGACAACCCAGGGACGGTGGTTGGCGAAAGGGCTGAAGTTCCCAAGGTGAATGTACATGAGTTACACCGTACACTTAATGGTCTAAGGTAGCTTAGAAGCAGAAACACACAGGCCCAATCAAGGCCACAGCCAGTGCATATGCGCACTTAAACAGCACTATGTAGTCCCAGCCCCCCCCTACGATGGCTTCTCTCGACCAATAACATCTTATGTACAGAAAAGCGAGGCGTGTCACCATCGCTGAAGCACTTCGTGTAACTAGAGACCATATCGTAGGAATGTACTTGGCCCCAGATTCCCAAGGTCATGCAAGGTGCTTCGACCCTGCATGTCGTTCGTTGGATAGATCCTCGATGAGCAAGCAGGTTGCGGAAGACGCCTGACCTGTGAATGAGGAGACAAATCATTATTCTCATTGGTATTAATGTGCCGACCCTCGCCACTTTGATCACCCGGGCTGACTTTTTTTGCGGGACATTTCCAGGTTGAAATAGAAGTCGAGTGCAAAAATGGGTTCATGGGCTGTCTCCTGACGAAGAGAGCAGACACGCCTGGCTACTCTCCCACTTCATTCTCTATCGCTGCCCATAAAACCTTTCAACCAGTCTCTTGAACGTAGCTGAAGCTGGACGCCGACATCGTCATGCCTACCGCAGATGCAAAGGCGAGGTTGCGTTGCGAAGCGCCCGGCTGCGAGCATAGAACCTACTCCAGTCCTTCCAACCTCAAGAGGCACATCAACTCTAAGCATAACCAGGCCATTCAGATGTCCTGCGGCAAATCGTTGCCGAACCACCAGTCGAACATCAAGCGCCACAAGGATGCTTGTGGTTGCACAGTTCTGGACCAGCCCCTAGTTCCCGCTGTGGGGAATGGCGTTGGTACACCTACAATGCATACCACCACCAACAATGCCACGATGACGTCGACATTTGAAGACGTCCTTGACATGATGTTGAATGAGTTCAACAATGCATACCCTCCCATGGACAACAACTTCTTTGGGCCCTTCTACTAAGAGGATTCTTTTTTGGGGTACGAGACCATATGGCTTGTCATATGTCCATGAACTTCCGAGGTGGTACCTACCTTAGGTAAGCTACCTGATACCCTGTTGGAGTGAGACGCCACACGGCTGTGTGTTCAGTACATGTACACGCAGTTCGTTCGAACATCAACATCGAGCTTACTCAACACTAGATGCTCTCAGGTCCATTTCGAGTCGACGTGGATCATCAGATGGAACTATGGAAGTCTTATATTATAGATCTGCTGGTCATTCTACGTTTTGCTGCTACTTTATAAGCGATCTGCCTATCTCGTTTGGAGTTCAGTTGGGGGATATTTCTTTAGCGTTTGGAGCCCATGGTTGACGTATTTATAAGACTATAGAATTTACAAAGACATGATTTCCAGGTTTCGGAGTTTCCATAAAATCCTTCAAGGTTCCTCAAGTGCAATGGCAACGGGCCGTATCTGGTTTCAGTCTGGTTTACACGTTGGTGAACTTGCAGAGCATCCACGGACCGTGTAAGTGCCCAGTGAGAATATCGCTGACATGATTGGTTGACCCCACCATTTCGCCATTCACCCGTGGTCTACAGGACTCAGACAACATGCTTTTCGCTGTGAGTTCTGAACGAAGCCATGTATTTCAGTCTGATTTCTTCTTATCGTCGCGGTTCCATCTCCGTCGCGTCTTGGGGTTTCGCTGAGTGATGGCGTCCCCTGGTCTAAATTTGGTGCAAGGGTCCCCAACATCAAACCCAAGCCAACGGCCTTTAGATCCCATCAACCCACACTGATATCGTGCATCGAGTCGTTCAAGGGATATAACCATCAGGCCACACAGTATTTGGCTTGAAGAAGCCTAGAAACGGTCATCCATTGTACTTTTCAATCAAGAGAGGACGTCAAGGCCATTGTCATTCCCCAACAGGGGTTGCCCCTGCACGCACTCGCAGGGATCCGCTGACGAGATCAGATGGATGGTCTGGTATCCGTAACCAACAGGGCTGATCAGATTAGGAAGCCTATCCAAGCGCGTGCTAACATGTTCATCCTCATATGAAAATGATTTTCTCCATCTTTTCTGCTCAGGCGTATTGCCCTGAATGGAATCCAACTCTCAAAGGAAACGACACGAAGTTTCTCGTGGTGTTGAACGTAGGCAGTAGAAATAGAGAATGGAAAGACGGCAGTATGGTCGGATAAATCCCCGACCGAGACTTTGTCTCAGTGACGGGAGTGAGCTCGGCCGGGAGTTACCGAGTGGCCCGTTTAATGAACCGCAGGCTTTCAGGCACACGTGCGCCCCCCCACAGAAACCGTTGCAACTGTCACCGATGTCGCTCAACTGCCCACCATCCATCCTATAGTTCGTCACGAGCTCTAATGCAATATACCGACAGCTTCTCTGGACCTGTTTTCATCTTCTTAATGGGCAGTGCTGGTCGCGCGCCGTTTGCATCAATCCATAACCATCTACTGGTGTTCTCAGCAGCTTCGACACGGAGTGCTTGCGTGGGGGCACAGGTATCCCATGCCGAAAGCGAACAGGCCAGTCGACACTGAGTAATATGTAACAATGATACCTGCTTCTTTCAACCAGCGCGTTTATCCAGAAGGATGAGGGCAATGTCCCTAGTGAGTTCTGAGTTCGACAACAGTGACTCGTGCCGGGTTGAAAGCGTGGGCATCCACCCCGAGCGGCGAATTAGGGCATATTTTCCAAAAGTCGTCCAACATGGATGCTTGTGGTCGTGGTGGACCATGCTATCCGCATGCTTGTTCAGCTCTGCCTGAACCAAGTCCTTCCTCATCGCACGCATCGCACGGGGGGGGGGGGGGAGGGGGGGGAACCCTGATGCTAATGGGAGGAAGAATGGAAAATCCGACAGCCTTGGAGAACCCTGGGTGGAGGCCCCAACCAGGCCCGGTGAGGCAGCGTCTCATTCCACGGATCGACTAGTACCGTGAGTTCCTCAAATACAACAGAAAGAACGAAATAACAGAAAAAAAAGGAATCACGACCACGACCAACGACCACAACAAAGTGGGTTGATCGTAGCAGCATGGCTCAGGTTGGACCGTTTGTGCTTGGGGTTGAATGTGCAAGTGAGTGTGACGATGCGATGGATGCTACTGCTGCTGTACACCGAGGCAGAGCGACGCGACTCTCCTCTCGTGCGATGGAAAAGGTACGTCCAGAGGTCGGGATCCGGCTACCATCTCCACAGCTTTCACTGCCCGCTTGCCATTTATAAGACAGTGCCCTCTTGCCAAAAGTAAGGCAGTGCCCGCTCGGGCCTGTGAGGCAAACATCTTTAACCTTCTGGTGACATCCAAGTTCGACAACCGTCTGCAGGGAAGGTCGTCTGCAGAGAAGGCGAACGGTCTTGCAGTGTCTTAGTCAATGTAGAGAGATATTATGGAGGAGTAGGGCCAGAGTTTCTTTTGGTCGCACAGCCATCCATCCCTTCATAGGTAGCACATCAGGTACTTTGCTTTGCGATGTGCCACCCGCGGCATCCTCAAGTAACTGTCTCTGGAATTTAGCGCGGTACCTTGGCACTTGTATCTTGCTTACCGCCGCAGTTCGCGATCCCCAGTTCAGCAATTGTGCTCGAAGCATGGCGACAGCGTCCCAATGCCCTGCGGCAAAAGCCTACCCAATCACACATCGAACGTTCAGCGCCATCAGAAGTCGTGCCATGGCTGCAACACAGTCGCGGGACAGCTGTCAGTCTCAGGCACAAAAGACAAGCTTCGGACGCCATCAAGTGCGGACTCCAATGCAAACCCGGTCCCTGACACGAGTCTCGAAGACAAAGACCTCTTGGAGTGGATGTTACAAGAAGGATTCGACGACGTGCGATTTTGGGATTTCGACTCTATCAACAGTTTCCAATGTGAAACTTCTCTCTGAAGGTCAATACCTGGACAGACAAGGAGAGCGAAGACGGTAGACTCCCATGCGATAAGTCAGACTCATTACAGTTGTCTTCTTCCACAAATTATGGAGAATACCTGTCATTTTGTGGGCGTCTCTTGTTGCGCAACTCAAGTGATGTGGCAGTGATATTCGAATACGCGCGTTGATTCTTCGGACAGCTGTTGAGCGTGAGGACCTGGTCACGGGTTGTGGCTTGAAGAGAGATTTTGTATCGGAAGCAACGCTCACTCACCCTGATGAGCTTCCGAAGTGAGGATCCTGACAACGTTGTTGTCTGACCGAGAGAGACCTGTCCGTTCGTGTAAGTCGGAGGTGGGGCCTTAGAGAGACCGGGATGGCCGGTGAGGACCTAACCCTTCCGGTGGGCCACTGGGAGCGTATTCATGACACCGAACGTCCCCAGGAGTGGTATCAACATCAAGAAACGAATAGCATATGTTTTTCAAGTAGAGTGTATTAGGATTAGCTATTGAAACTTTTGTTGTACTCCATCGATTAGGAGTGTAGAACACCGCCATCAGTCTCATCAGGACTCCGACCAAAGGCAGCACCAGAATTGCTAGGTTGCGGAGCCAGCCATGAAGCCTGTGCTTCTACGCAAAGCCAATGTCGTAATCGCAGACCAATGCTACCCAGCTACGTACGCCTTAGGCCCACTCACGGTACACATCGACGGCGGCGCAGGTGGGGTTGGAAGCCGGGCCGGCGGTGATCCAGACGAGGGAGCGGTAGTAGTAGTTGCCGACAAAGGTGTAGCAGACGTGCCAGCGGTAGTACGCCTCGTCCACGATGGGAGCCTGCGAGCCAGCAACGGCCTTGGAGTCATCCTCGCGGGAGTAGATGAAGAGCTTCTCGTTCTCGTCGAAGCCGAGGGTGAAGAGGGCAGTGTTGCCGGGAGAGAAGATAGGGATGGCGCCGTTGCTAACGATTTGCAGGTTGAGCATCATGCCGGAGGAGACGGGGTCGCCGTTGCCGATGGGCTGGTTCCAGGTCAAGGCACCGAGGAGGTGGCCCTTGTAGTCGGACTGGGTCTCGTTGAGGAAGTAGTTGGTGTGGGTGGTAGGACGGTTGGCTTCCTGGATGGGCTCTGTGGTCTCGGGGCATAGACCAGCTTGGCCGGCCCCGGAGTGGCAAGATGAGAGGTAGGTCTCGCCGGAACCGCCGGTGCAGGGAGTGAACTTGAGCCAGAATGGTCTGGTCTGGTTGGTGAACTGGGCAGAAGCTAGAGTGGCACCCAAAAGGGCGATGGCGTAGACGGTCTTCATGTTGATGGTTGGAGAGGTGTTGATGATGTGGTTGTTGGTGTGGGTGGTAGTTGTTGTTGATGCTGATGCTGAGGAGGACGAGATGAGCCCGGTCTTTATACTGAAATGTCAAAGGGTTTCACGTACCTTGAAAGATTCGAGAAATACTGTTAGACACCTTGAGGTTTGTGGACGACGTTTGGTGATGCGGGATCTAACCAAGGACGGATGGGATGAGGTTGTAGGAGGGCGGGGTGGCGTGGCTTATATTAAGAGAGAGACAACTCTGGCGTTCCTTTTGCTACTTCCGGTTCAGCCAGGCTTCTTCCCCCGAGGGGCCCTGTTGTCTGTCATTCTTTCCATTTGATAGCTGATCATGTTGGAAGGATCTGGCGGGAGAGGAGAAAAAGAGGCGGTCGGGGGAAGGCGGAACCCCGCTAAACATACACGAGGTCCTAGTCGCATCGTAAAGTTGGTGTCACTTTCCAGGGTGACATGGACGCAAACTAGCAAAGTAGGAAGTCTCAAAGGAGCCGTGGGAGCATTGGTAACGTGGTGTCGATCACCGCCCACAAATTCGGCTCCGTTGATGAGCACGGAGCTAGCGCAAACGAACCAGTAAGGGAGGAAGCTGATATCCTCGGTGCAGCGAGAAATCTGGGGAAACAGCTGCTTCGTCTGATTCGGATCGTCCTTGTGTTTGTTCACAGGGTTGCACCGGGCCTCTCACTTCAGTCAGCCCTCCCTGCCCTCCGCCCCGGCAGTGACAGATCACATTATCAAATAGCAATATCAAGCAGTCCACAAAACTGACGATGTTGACGCATGAGTTTCTCGGTGCAGGATACCCCACACCAAGCCACGCAAACTCTACGCGGGTTTAGATTTCCAAGTAAATCTGAGGTTGATGAACGGGAAATAAGGAGCACACGTGGTCTAGAACTGCGGGCAGCAGGGCTCGAAGGAGAAGCAAGATGTTTTCCTTCCAAGAAAGAAGCTTTACAGGAACCCCACGTTTCCTGCATCGTGGGAATTGAGTTGGAATATGGCGCTCCCCAAGGCGGGACGAAACGACGCCACATGCACGTCATAGATGACGGTGGTACGGGTTGGGCTTTCGAGGCTGAAATGTCAGATGCAACCTTGTCATATCAGGGTGTTTTCGATATGGTGTTGCGAGACATTGCGGAAATCCGCTCGAGACTTTTTGTTATGTTTGCTCAGGAACTTCTTCCAAGAGTGATGCGAGGGGATTAGTAAGAATAGAGCTGAGTTCCATGTGTAAGTGAGACATGACGTTGGAACCAACGCGGATGTGCCGGCGGGCCGGTTAGGCCTCTTGGCTCAATCCTTGACTTGGTGGTGAGAAAATAGTCACGATGGAGGTCAAAAGATACGAGAAAAAGGCCACCTCCAGCTTGACAAGATCAGCATGAGTGCATGCTATCAATCCGGAGAATAGGGACTTCCACCGCATGATCTCCAGTGTAGATGGCATTTTGTCATTGATCCTGCACGCCGGCAAGGTTGATCTCGTGGCCGTTTGCTGACTGGAGACTAGCGGGGGTTGAAGCCTTACTGGATGCGGACGAAACACCAACGCCGCTGTGCTGGTTAGGGAATCATGCATGCCGAAAGGGCCGAAGATGGGGTGTGCTGTACGGGTTCGCGCAGGTTACGTTGCTTCTGTGACAAGATGCAGTGGAACTCCGATACGAGGTCAGGTCAGGAGGTAGATTTTACACGGTCAAATGCCTGATGTATGTATGTATGGAAATATCTACAATGAGAATGCATAATGCGTTAAATATCTCGTTCCTCATCTATGTAGTCAAAGACGACCTCTAACCGCAGACACCCGAGGTGGCGATGGAGTTGAGGTCCCTGGGAATAACTCCAGCAATCACACCGTCTACGACAACGTTAGCATGCGCATCATCAGACGTAATAAGGAAGACATACCTCTATAGGACCACCGGTAATCGCCAAGCTGGGCCTTCCACGTCCAAAACACCCACCCGGCGGTGTTCTTCTCGTAGGCGTGGACCTGCGCCGCGAACCACTTCTTGTAAAAGTCCTTTTGCGTGTCGCGGTTCCAGTCGGCCGAGTTCTCAATCTCGTCGGGCGGGCTGATGCTCCACTCGCCGACGATCGTCGGGCCCGAGGCGTCGCCGTTGCGGTTGTCGTTGCACGACGTCGAGATGTAGCTGTCGTGCGTCCAGGGTACGTCGTTCTTGTTGGCCCACTTGAGGTAGCGGTGGTCGTCAAAGGCGGTGAAGTAGGTGTCGTCGAGGAACTCGGTCGGGTTACCAGAGCCCCAGAGCGAGGACATCATCTGGATGTGGAAGTAGTTGTTGGCGCTGACGCCGAGGCTCTTTTCGACGTTGCGGATGGCCTGAGGGTGTTAGGAAGATGTACGAGGTAAGGACAGTGGTGACTGACATTGTAGCCGTTCTTGTAGAATGTGCTGCGGAGGGACTGCACGGAAGAGTCCCAGTTGGTAGGCTCATTGACAAGCTGGATCGTGCCGACGTTGCGGAGCTCCTTGTTGTCGTGGGCAAGCTTCCTGAGGAACTCAAGGAACTTGACGGCCCGGCCGTACTGGTAGTCATTGTAGAAACCAGGGGTGTTGGCAAACTGGGGATGGTTATTAGAGTATGGCCACAAGTCTAATGATAGAAAGTCTTACTTGACCAGTGAACGAGTTCTTCGCTACTTGAGCACCCGGGGCACCGTGCTGGCTTCTTGTTGTTAGTCTTTGAAAGCGTCTCACGAAGTTGTTGAACCCACTCCAGGATGATGTAGAATCCACGGTCACTAGCCCAACCGCAGAGTCGGATCAAGTACTTGACAGCTCCCTGCATTCGGTCAGTCTCAAGTCAAACTACACATCATGAAGGCACAAACCCTTGGGAAGTGCTCAGAGTTCTGGTCCACCAACGACTCATCCAGCCAGTATCCCACGGGAACACGGATGGTGTTGATGCCATAGGCCATCATCTCATCCAAGTCACCCTCGGTGATCCACGTATCCCAGTGTTTCTGGAAGGCGGCATCCGACCTCTCCTGGCCCGTGTTCATGACGCAGTCGAACTCGGACTGCTGGCCACCGCAGCCCATGTTGTTCCACTCGTTGTTGGCGATCCAGGGCTCAAAGACGAACAGGGAGCCCAGGTTGACACCCCTGATCTTGCCAGAGGCGGTCCACCAGCGCTTGCTCACACCATCAGAGTCATCAGACGTGGTGTTCTGGTTGTCGAAAAGGCTGAAGCCGCGAGTGTCCAACAGCTTCCTGGTGCCGTCGTTGGGCAGCCATGCGTGGGCGAGCTGCGTGGTGGCAGCGAGTGCCAAAAGACTAAGACGGACCATGTTGACAGTTGTTTGGTGGATTGTCAGGCTCGTGATGAGAGGGATGCAGAGACAAAGACAATTTGCATTCGAGGTGTGGAAAGACCGGCCGTCTTAACAAGCTTCTGATGCCTTCCCCGAGTCCTTGCGGGCCGCAACGGTAAACCCCAGGATTCGCCAATGGAGTGATGAGAAAGGAAAACGAGATTATCCCAGGGGCGCAGCACCCGATGCCGTAGCACCAGCTCTTCCTTGGGGCTTGGACGCTAATGCAAATGTCGATCGTGAGGGCTGAATATCTCTAGTGTATTTCGTAGCTCTGCTCACCAAAAACCCCCTGATCTTTCACTTTGTCGGCATCGCTTCGCCAACCAGCGGGAGTCTTTCAAGTCTATTTCCAGAGAACACGGGGATTGACGGCATCGAGCTGCAGGTGTTCGTCCAATCCATCCAATCCGGACCGAATAGCGACCTCAGAATACCCTGGTTCCTGCATTGTTGAATCTCTACAGCCGCACGGGCGAGCAGGATGACGGCAGGGAAATTGACGGCTGCCTGGAGTCTGGAAATGGTCGCTAGCCCCCCATTGCCTCATCAGGCTTTACGACAGGTCGCTGACTGGCTCTTGGCGGACATTTGGAGGATCAAAAGTGAGACGGCCGGCCTAGCCCGGGGGCCAAGTTCGATTGACCTCCTTGTTGGGGTTTAGCTCCGGCTACTGGCCATGCCCCAAAGTTCAAGCTCTCGGATGGTCGACAGGGGTTTCTTAAAGGGCTGCCTGGCACCTGCAGTGTTCTTAGTCATTGTGCAGCTGCAACTGTACAGTCAGCAGCCGCATCACTCTTTTTCGGTGCGCTCTCACAACTGACAAAACTCGACTTACACCCACCGCAATCCACATCGCGAGTCCACCAAAACATCAAAAACATACAACACCAGGTATTCGCTGGTCGTCACCGACCCAACTACTAATCCGGCCCTCATTGGCTTATCTATGGGAGAGCGGACGGGATCCCGAGTTTTCCAATGGGTATGGTCGTATGTGACAGTACCGCCTTTGCAAAAGGCTCGAGAAGGCATCAGGCCGGTCCTGTGTGTAAGCCAGAAAGTCATAGGACGTAGGAGAAGCCTCCTATTGGATAAGAATGGGCTGCAAGTTTGTAATGAAGGGTCTTCAGTGTTCAATTGGTCGAGTTGGGTACCGAATTGGGCGCGGCATTGCAGTGTGAACTCACCCCCATAGTAGTGTTGCTTCCACGAACTCATGTTTCATATCAAACGGCTGAGACTTCTCAAAGCGCCCTCGTAATCCCCGTTACATCTCGGACACAGTTGATTTGTAGTGACACTAACATAAAGAATCGTATCTCGTAATTGAGATGCGCACATTGCTCCTCCATGCCATGCCTCACGGATGGCCCCGGCTATATGGTTATTCTTTGCGATTATAACTTGAGCCTCACACCATCAACCGTCAAGCTCTTCTCCCATGTTCATATGCCATGCTCGCAACCTAGCAATGCTTTCCAAATACTTCAGGCAGAAAGATCAACATTAACAATAAGGTACACGACACATGAGACACACCGCGGCAACTCACCTCCAAGCCCTCAGGCATTACAACTTCCCTCTGCATACGTGCCGCACCGGATCCGAAAGTAGTCATTATCAATATTGTAGTCCTTGGTGCCGCTTCTCGCGTCGCGGCAAATAGTACACCGGTTCGCCGGGTTGTTGCCGTTCTGCACATTTTGGTCGAGGTAGTACACCCGGCCGCCAATATCCTCGGCGCAGATGCCAATGGCCTCGTCGAGACGGCCCATTGCCCACTTGTCCCACGTGCCGCTCGGGTATGTCCAGAAGTAGGCGCAGTCCTTTGCCATTATGACCGTGGCGAGTGTTGAGACGAGGAAAGCGGATGAGGCTCGCATTGTGTCTATTTCGGGTCCGTATGGGTTGGACGGAGACGAGGAGTGATTCTCCAAGACGTTTGGTAAACGACTCTTCGGCGACTCTGTCTCTCACTTTATACCAAAGCTATTCGGCGTCAGTCTATGTATCTCATCAAGGAAATGTTCACCGCGCGTTCCGCGGGGCGTTCCGCGGGCTTGAACGACGGTGCCCAGCTGAGACCCATCCTGACCGCCTCACTCTGCCCACATTGACGAGATTTCAAACTCAATTTCGTGTTATCCTGTAAATCGCCAAGATACAACGGTCACAGCTGGAGCGGACGACGCGATCAGTTCTTCAAGCAAAATGGATCGATGGGTATCAGTTTGGAATTCACCGCTACTTTCATTAGACCGAGGTCGTTGTCCAAAAGTCTTATCCATTGTGCATTCGTTTCCAAACATGCTCTTTCGCCATACACATACGCCTAATGTACACATTCATCCTTTTGGATCTTCAGAATATAAAAAAAATGGCCAACGCCGAGCGCCCAACACTACATACAAAACATAGATCAACCCACTATGAACTCGACTTGCAAGCGGCATAGCTGTCAAAGCCAGACGCTTGATGCCAGGTCGTGAGATGCCTGATCAGAGTCGGGTCAATGTCCCGGTTGGCCTTGATAAAGATGGTCTCGTACGGGTGCACATTAGTGCCAAAGTACTTTCCGTTCCAGAGAACGTCGCCGTTCTGGGATGTGTCACACTCCTCAATGTAGTTCTTGGACTTCTGGAACGCTGTCATCATTAGGTCCACCTTGTAGCCTTGCTTCAAGAAGGTGCTCGTAGCGCCAATCTCGGCATGCACGGCGTGGTTCCAGCCGTCGTAGCAACCCGCCAGGCCGACAGGGTCGTTCTCGGTGCCGAAGTCGTCCTTGACGGAGGAGCCCGGTGGAGGGTTGAGGAGCAGGTCCATGCCTACGTTGTCGGTGGCCCAGATCATGGACTGGACGTGGAATTGGGGCCAGCAGTTTGCCGTCATGCCAACCAACTAGCAGCCCATGTTAGCATCAATCACCTGAGTTGGGGAACTTCTTCTTCATATTACCTTGACTTTGTCCGTGAGGCGGTCCAGATACATGTCAGTCCAGCACGACTGCGCCCAGTGAGGCAGGAAAGGACCGCGAATACTCGCGTTCATGGTGATGAAGCGCTTGTATTTCTTGTACAACCCGTCTTTCCGGAGCACCTCGCCGTATGCACCGAGATCGAAACATGTATTGTCCCGTTCAATGATCTTGATGTTATCCTTTACTGGGATGACACTACTAACGTTGGTCTCGCCGTTGAGGATAAAGATGAAGTCGGCAGCGTCGTGTAGACCCTGCTTGACGAAGAATTGGAGGTTTTCGCGGCCCGCGTCAGACTCGGCGTAGGCGTAAAGGATCAGAGGACGGCTGCGGTCCTTGGAGTCGGATGATTGTTTCGAGGTGGAGGAGGAGGGCGACGAATGTGATTTCAGAGACGTAGGGGCAGACGAGCTCTCGCTTGCGCCCTTGTTAGAGGCCGCGCTCGCGGTCTGCTTCGCTCCCTTGGCAGTCGTTTGGGAAGCAACCTTGGCTGCCTTGTCTTCGTCGTCCTCGTACCATGGCGGGAGGGAGTACTCGGGCGACTTGTCTGGGCGCGAGATATCGTGGGGCGGGTTCGAGGACTCATGGGGCGTCTGCTTGTTCGCGGCATTGCTGTTGCTATTCGGGTACTGAGGTTGGCCTACAGGATTGGCAGACTCGTCATGTGTCTGGGAAATCGAGAATTAGTCCAGAGAGTCTAGAGACAGACCAGATATTGGCTGAATACTCACAATATGTATAGGCGTTGTCGATGTTGTCTGAGTAAACGTCGAAAGTGACCACAGGAAGAAGAGGAGGACGAGTAGCCCAATAGCGGTCTGCCTGTTCACAGGAAACGTCGACGCCATGGCGATTGCTGACGATGGATGCTACGGTTCGGAGTCGGCGACTTTCAAAAACGCGGTTGATGCGATCGAGGCGCGCAACTTGGGACCAGAACCAGCTGTGAGCGATGGTTATCTTTGCTGGGCCACGGATCGTGATTCACCGCATCAGAGCAAGCTGACAAGGACGATAATGACGATGGACAAGAACGGATACCGCAGAGCAAGACCGGTGAGATTTGGAGGTGGGAAAGAGTTGACCTTACGTCGGAGACAAGTCACAAGCTGAGCATGGGACCCAGGTCCGAAAATGGACGCCAGGGAGCTTTGTCTGGCATCCTTAGCATGGCGTGTTGTGGCGGACTATGGCCAGGGAGGGAGGGGCTAGAAATGAAGGGCACGGAGGGGATTGGAGGGACAGCTTCAGGCCAGCTTTCATTGTCGGGGAACTGATTTTTAAAGTTCCATGACTTTGAGATACCATCTGCCATCGCCTTGGCTAGCGGTTGGCCCAAGTTTCTGTCATGTCACTCTCCTTCAGTGACATCTGTCATGGCGAACGAACGACAACCAGCCTGTACAATTAGGACGAGAATGATTCTGGCGGTCCTGTCTGGGGGTAGAGTGTCCGAGCATACCAAAGCTGAGGCTCTAGAGGCGGTGGTCCGAGGTATGGATCTGAGATGAGATGCAGGACGAGTTGTGTGGATATGGGACACCATCGTCGACCATTCATCGACCGTCATGCGGTCCCGGGTATCTGGACTCGTAAGGCATTTCACAGTCCACGCATACCGCAGGGACCAAAGATCGGGGAGTGTTCCACAGGGGATGGGGGAAATCTGTGATGAACGCGGCAACGGGACTCCCCCCGCTCCCGGCGCGGCACGTCATTGTGGACGGGGCAGCTAGAACGGTAATCAACGGTCACCTTCAAGGCTTCAAGTATTCCGTCAAGCTGGAGAGTTGTCCTAGATAAAGTGCGCCTAAGTGCCTCTCAAGGGCGAGCATGGAGGCACGTTATTGTAGTCTTTTCTTTTCTTGCAACTCCCTTCGTCCCGCCTCTAGAGAACCACCGCCCGGTGGCATCGAATTATACGGCAGATCCCTTAAAATGCCTTTGACCCGCCCTTGGGTTATCAGCAGTCCCTGCGCCCCTGCATGGGCTGGTCCCTTGCATTCTGCACCAATTGCTTCTTTTGGCATCTTCTGAATTGCCAATAGCGAGCTTTACACGCTAAGCTTTGGGCCGTGCAATTGAGTGAGACCTGGTGTCATTGCAATTGAAAACAGATGTTGAGAGTTTATCGGTGTTCTAAGAGCAATTGAGTTTGTGTGGAGCGTCTAGCCAGTTGCGCGTGGACAAAATGAAAGAGCACCTGGTTAATCACCCTCCATCAAACATCCTCTGCATCACTTCGCGATCCGGGAAGAAGCCTTCTTTTTTGAGCGAGTTGAGTTGCAAACTCAGTAAGCAATTTGCTATTCTGGGTATTATATCTTTGGACGCGGATTGTCTTTTCTCCTAGAGTTTCAGATGACGGCGTACTCGGACAACCAGTCAGTTGTCCCTAGTTACCGTCCTACGGATATGCTGAGGTTAGATGAACTTGATTACTTACTGCCAAGGACCGTCGACGGACTCTTTCCTAAACCGCCGCAATTGCAACATGGCATTGGAAGACGCAACTCGCGAGGAACAGTCGCGATTGGCCGAGGTTGTTACAAAGGGCTCGCCAAACCGGCTGACTGCCTTATCTGGGAATGGAGTTGGGAGGAATCGGCCGATATCTCGAGCGGGGGTTGCACCAAGTGGAGGCGCAACTGATCTTACCTTACCATTCAAACCTGTTCAACTGGTCATCCAAGTCGATGCCGTTCCATTGGTGCTAATCGCGAAGTCGCACACTACAAAAAGGATCCCCAACTCGGCGAGCAGAGTTTCTATTTCAAAGCGAGACAACAAAACTAGGCAAGATGAGCGCCGTAACGATTCAACCACCACTGTCCCGCCGTGGCCACGGCCCTGGTCTCATCATCGTGGTTGAAGAGGGCGTCAACCTATCCAAACATGACAAGATTCTGGATCCTCCTCCATCGCAGACATGGGCAGAGGAAGGATATGCAGTTGCGCAAATAGTTGTTGCACCCGGAGCCGAAGAAGTTGCTGGTCAGATCAACTCCGCCATTGCGAGTCTCAGAGAACTCGCCAGTTGTGATGATAAGGATAAGTTTGGCGTCATTTGTAAGCATATCATGGTCTACTGTAAAACCTCAACTCACACGTCTCAATAGCTCTCATCAGTGCTCCCTCTTCGCAGTTTGTGGACGCCTTGGAGAGCCATTCCGAGATCAAGGCGGCCGTGTTCTACAACTTTGGCCAAGCACTCACGATTCCCACCCTTTCGCATCTCCCCAAAACCCAAACAGACACTCCCAAGCCGACTTCCACGGCAAAGACGCACTCCTATCCCGGAGCAAGCGACTTCTTCGTCGTCCCGAGCCATCCCAACTTCAACGCCAACGCCGCGGGGCTCGCGCACACCCGCACACTGACGTTCCTGAAACCCCTCCTCGGCGGGCCGTACTTCGACCTCGAGGCCGTCTGGGAGGAACACACCCTCTTCGAATTCGGCGAGCGTAATGTCGAAAAGACCATGGCCACCATGGTTGAGCAGCCCTATGTGAGTCTCGTCGGAAGGTAGCTTTGAAGGGGAAGGTTGGCTGACACTGACGCAGGTCAACCACATCCCAACGCTCACCGGCGGCGTGGGTCGTCAATACCTGACCAGCTTCTACAGAGACCATTTCATCTTTAACAACCCTGATGATACTGAGCTCGAGCTGGTCAGCCGCACGGTTGGTATTGACCGAGTTATTGACGAGTTTGTCTTCAAGTGCACCCACAACAGGGTCATTGACTGGCTGTGAGTTTCTCCCAGCACGAGACAGGTGAAGAACGTACTTCTGACCACGAACGCAGGCTCCCCGGTGTCCCACCAACTGGGAAACACCTTTCCATCCCCTTTACGAGTGTCGTGAATGTACGAGGCGACCACCTCCACCACGAGCACATTGCTTGGGACCAGGCTACCGCGCTGCGCCAGCTTGGTCTCCTGCCAGAGTTCCTGCCGTTCCCCTACCAGATCAACGGTAGTGGCCCGGCGTCCGGAAAGAAGTTCGAATTCAAGCTGCCTGTCGCCGGCGTAGAATCGGCGCATAAGCTCGTTGACGAGAGTGCGGTTGAGTCGAATGCCATGTTCGAATATGGAACGCGAGAGGTCGACGCCTAGCTGGGTTGGACCGGGACGCTGCGACGCCAAGGAAGTTTGAGTGCCTAGATTTCCGTTATAGAATCAAGTCCAAGGTAGTCTGAAGTTGGCGGGTGGTTATCTCTTGAAGCTGACAATCGCTCTCTGTATTAGGTTTCTTTTATGTTCAGTTATGATATGACAAAGTGTACGCTACTCATTATGCAGTCGTCAAGACCCTTTTCAGACTCGGTTTGAGCCCAGATGCGAGGATCCGCTCCGTGAAGAAGACTCGTACTTTGTCGACGCCGTCGAGTCCTGACGAGACCGGCTCTCCTCGCCCCAACGGACCTCTTGGTCCACCTTGATCCGTATCCCGCCCTTCAGGGACAGGTCGTCGCATGAGCCCGAGTCCGAGTCCGGCGAGGGCTTTGTCGTCGCTCCTCCTCCTGTTCCTCCTCCTCCTGCGGATCGGGTCGAGATGTTCGTCGTAATACCGTACTTTCCGTCCTCGGTTCCTAGGCGCTTGAATCCCCTGTCGGCCGACTTCCCTCCCGTTCCCCCGATCGTCATGAGTTCGGTGGGCCCCCGGCTTCCAGCCTTTGAGCGGCCGCCGCTCTGGCCTCCGGAGAGGTTGTACTTCGTCGCGATGCTGCCGAATTGCGACGAGACTTTGACCATGAGGGGGCGTAACGTAGGCAGGCAAGCGCTGATAACACCGCAGGCACATTCGACGACGCACCATGTACACGCAGTAGCGAGTGTCCCTAGATATATCGTCAGCAGGTGAGTCGAAGCAGCTGGCTGGGTGAGCCTTACATGTCGTGTCAGTGAGCTCGAACTGCATAATTGTTGTGAAGCGGTAGATACTGGCAAAGAGGACGCTAGTTCGGTGTCAGCACTTATACGTCGTCTTCCTCAGGGCTTGACATCACTTACAATCCTCCCAACAGGAACATGAAGCACAACGACAACCGCTGCGCCATCGTCACCTGCAGCTTCCACACCTGGCCGATAGGCAAGCACAGGATAGCAACATCGGTCAAGATATTGGGAATGGCGTTGCCGATAAAGGACGCCTTGAGGTCGATGCAAGTGCCCTCGATCCAGGGCATGTAGGCCTTGGCAACGGGCGTGCACTGGAAGACACAGACAAAGACGATGGCGAGCCACCAGCCGATGGTAAGGAGACCGAGCACGAGGGCAGCGATCTTGAAGCCGCGGCCGGGGAAGATGCGGCGGTACATGAGCAGCAGCGAGATTTTGATGAACATGACCGCCGTCACGTACACGCACTCGAAGGCCAGTAGCAGCTTAAGAAACTGGATCAGCGTGTCTTGTGATAATGTTGCGGCATGGCGGCCGAGGCCCTGTGCAATCACTGTGATCACGGTTAGTTTTCATGATGCCCTCACTTTCAACCATCGTCTTGTCTTGTGCTTACTGGCATAGTTGAGGGCTCCGGCCATAAAGGTGACGATCAGGCCAACCACCATGAACCAGTCATCGAGGCCATAGTGAAAGCCAACAGTCCACCGCGCCCAGAACCGGAGACCGACAAAAACGGTTGCGAGAACGAGCAACGCCGTCGTGGTGCCGCTCAGTTCAGGCCCTCTATCCGCCAGAGGGTCTTCCAGAGCCGATGTATCGGCCATGGAGGCTGAAGAAGGGAAAAGATGGGGGCGTGAAATCTCCGAGGCCACCACAGAATCCAATAGTTTGTGAGTCAGTATCGTGGACACAGCAAGCAACGAGTCAACGAAGAATCCAAATGCAAGAAACACGCCAGTTTTTCGGTATCTCTCTACTCCTTCCCGAAATTTTTCGGGTACGGGGATATCAAAAGGAAAATGAGAGAAAAAAGAAGGGCTCGGACAAGAACAAAATGGAGCCTTTCTTTCCTGGGTATCCGGGATGCGCAAGCGTAGAGTCCTTATACGCTTCTGCCATTGATACCCTGCCCGGTGCAAAGAAACGTGGTGAGATTCGACTGACTCGGCATTTGAGGGGCGACAACATGCCGGCTTGTCAGGACTGGAGGCTTCAATGGGGAGGGGAGGATCCCCTCGAAGCCTGTCGAAGGGGGCCAACGTCGTACTGGGGATACAAAATCCGCATCGATATAACGTCCACCTCGAGGCCCTGCTGCCTCTTGTGTCCCTTGTCCCCTACCCAGTACTACGCAGAAGTGGTCCCCGTCACGACCCTGTGCTCCGAGCGCGACGTCTGATCGCAGCCAGGCTCATCACGGGAGTTCAGACAAATGTGCCCCATTGCTGATGTAACGTCAGTCCGCCCCATCAACACCACCTCAATACAGTCGCTATCCTCCGGTCTTGACGACCTCTTTCGGAAAAGGGGGACAACGTTGAGGGGGGCGACAGTTGCGACACTAATTCTTTTCTGTGATATCGACATGGGCATCATGAATTCTATGAGATTGAGGCAAAGACGAGGTTCATGGGAGCACCGGGAGCTGTCAGCAGAGTAATACGATAGAGAGTCAGAGAGTATCCGTTTGGATTATTGAACGAGGATAAAATGGCATGTTCATCTCTTCCTCCCCCTCGGCCTTCCTACGATACCCTCGGTTCCTCGCGCGTTGGCATCTCAAATCACTCTCTCGTGTAGCCTCTCCCTCTTACTCGATCGATCCTACTGCATCGTTCGCTAATACGCCTCCGGCATCCCACAACTCCTTACCCGTCGTTCATTTTACCAAAGATCCTGCACGTCAACGGTTACCCGTACCAAAACACTCTTGAACCTTGGTACACGTTGATCGGCAGTTGTCTGTGTCCTCCCCCCTTGACGCAACTTACACCACACGCCCCCCTACCACTCCCTCTCCCAAATCCATCAACATGCTCCCCAAGATCGCCAGTCTCCTTTCCTCGGCCCTCGTGGCTACCGCCGCCACTCTGCCCACCGTGGTCTTCACCCCGGGCGCCTGGCACGGTCCGCAGTCCTTCGACCTCGTCCGCGCCGGTCTGACGCTCAAGGGCTACGAGTCCGAGGCCATCACCCTCCCCTCCGTCGGCGCGGAGCCCGCGACCGTCGGTCTCGAGGAGGACGCCGCCGTCTTGCGGTCCACCATTGAGACCCTCGCCGACGCCGGCAAGGAGGTCGTCGTCGTCGTTCACTCGTACGGCGGCATGGTTGGCGGCAACGCCATCGAGGGCCTTGGCTACAAGCAGCGCGCCGCCAACAACGAGAAGGGCGGCGTCATCATGCTCGTCTACCTCGCCGCCTTTGCTGCCCCCAACGCTACCAGCCTCTTGGATATGCTCAGCGGAGAGTACCTCCCCTGGATGAGAGTCGAGGTAAGCTTCTTCTTTGACACTTTGACACTGGAACCCAGTGCCAGTGGCCCCCCTCCCCATCCCACATGTCACTGTTTTATACCCTTGCTTGGCATGCGACATATCTAGAAACACGTCCCCAAGAGACTCTGATTGAGATAAAAATTCCCGCTGACACTGAACTTGCAGGGTGACAAGGTCTACGCTGATACCCCAGAGACCATCTTCTACGCCGATGTCGACCCGGTTCTCAAGGCCAAGGCCATTGCGGAGCTCAGCTGGCAGTCTGCCCGCGTCTTCTCCGACCCCGCGACCTACGAGCCGTGGAACGAGGGCATCGAGGTCATGTACTTCCACACCGAGCAAGACCAGGCTATTCCTCTCGCTACCCAGGAGGCCATGGCCGCCCAGTTCCCTACCGGCTACACCACCTTTTACGCAAACACCTCTCACTCCCCCTTCCTGTCCCGCCCGGACCTCGTCATTGAGGGTGTCGAACTCGCTGTCAAGGTTGGCCAAGAAAAGATTGCGGCTTAGATAGTTATCTTGCGAGACCGAGTGTGTTTGCCTGGGACTGTCCAGAAGACTAGTTGTAGATCTTTAACGAAGAGAGGGCTGCCATGAGACTTTACCAAATCGAGACAAGAAAATTAAAAAAACAGAGTTGCAAAAGCGCACAGTTCTAGACCGGGTCCAAGGGAAAACATGCTTGAATCATTCGAGAATAGCCTCAACCGAACCAATCCTCACGCGTTTGAACCAAAACCTGCATGTGCTCAATGCTCGTCAAACCCGCTTCAACCTACCGGAACTTGGCCGCCTACCTTAGCATGCGTAGTGCGTATGCCCATATCCGTAGTAGGAAATAGCGTGACCGGGATCACCCCCGGATGAAGATCAGCGCAGCAAAGCCTCACTTACCCCTGGCTAGCCATAGTGGGATTCCAAATGCAACGCGGCAGATGTCGACCACTTGCGTGCTTTTTGGCGAAAGAAAAGCTGGGCACTTCACTTGGGTTCTGTCAACGAAGCAGGGCCGAGGGGAGGAGGGGGGCCAAAATGGTAACCCAGTGACGTTTCGCGTAAAAGTTCGCGTAATAACAGGAGAAAATACAGCGATGTCGACTATCCGTTAATATGAGAAAAGTCCGAATCGGGACGGCCCCCAATGAATAGAGAGAAAGATAATTCCCGGCTTTTACCAACGCACGCGTGGCCCGGTTGAGATCGTAATCCTGCCTGCCGGGGGACCAGAGGCAAACATGAATCAGCAACTCATTGTATGTAACTCTACCACATAGAACGCGGACCACGTGCATTTTTACTCGCCGTGACATTGACAAGTGACGACTGGCTTCGAGGAATCGAGGGAAAAAAAGCATTGACAAAAGCCCACCGGCCTCATGGCATGGCAAGGGGCCCTGTTAGTTTCTAGTGGATTACCTCCCCTTCGTCCCCTGGTGAAAAGGGCAGGGGTTGGAGAGGGTTTCTTCAGCAGTTGCGGAACTATTGCGGTTCAGGTTCTTCAGCAGCTCTCGCTGGCAGGCCCGCCGGCTGGGAATCAGGGGAGAAAAGGAGTTTGACGGGTGGGAACATATTGCATTTTCGAGACCCAATTGGAAATCCTTCCGTACATAGTATACGTAAACCCGGCTCCCTCTTCTTTCTGGTGAAGTATTTCTTTTTCGTACAGAGAGAAAGAGTCTTGTTGAAAGATGAGACGGCTGTCGAGGACTCGACGTGCATGTAGTCAAAGTAAAGCTCTCCCTTGCGTCCAAGAATGTCTTCGGCAAAGTTCGGTAGTTGAGGCGATCCCCGAACAGGCGTTCGGTTAGTCTAGTAGTTTTCGCGAGACCAGATTGAATCTAGAAAGTCTTCCGCGTTTCGCCTCGTCCTTGGTGTGAAAGGACCTTTGTTTCTGCTTCTGGACGGGCAGCGGATACAGCCAAAAGCCGACCGTTTCTAGGCCTGGTCCTCCGACCTCTGTGCTCTTTTCCTTGCTCGTCCTAATCTCCACAGTTTTTCTTTCCAATTCCTCTTTCGGAGCTGGCCGGCCGGGCCGGCGCAGCTATGACATTGACAGGCAGCGGGTACTGTCGTTCCTTTCCCTCGGAGTGAAGGCCGTTTTATCCTGATGCCAAGTGCCCAACTCGATGCGCCGTCGCGGTGCTCCGCAGCTATATGTCATCTGTCAAACTGCGTAGAGTCCACCATAGGCCAGTAGCTCAGTGTCGTATTGGTATCCGTACTCCGTAGTGAACATTATTAATTACACACTTCATACCGCATCCACGGCACCGTCTTCCCAAACGCCTCCCACAACCCGCGGCAAGACGTGTCCGAGAATGTGACGCCGAAACCAAAAAGAAAGAAAGAAAGAAAGAAAGGAGTTCCCAAAAGGTAGAATGTGATAAGCAGCAACCCCGGACCCGGGCAGAGAGATTGTGTTTTCTACCATCCTTGCTCGAGAATAATCAGATTTCTGATTCTTCTTACATCAATAGTGTTGAAGAACGAGTGGGCGGTCCAAGGTTGGCCCCCCTTCGTTGCCACCTCAGTAGCCTAGAGGTCCAGACAAATTAGACTTTGCACGTCAAAAGAAATGACAAGACGAACGACTCGAAGATCCCATCCCCCATTCCCGACCACTACCACCCCATCACCGATGCCCAGTATCCTGTACGACGCAATCCGTTTCACCAACGAACCTGCAATGCTGCCCTCCGCCCTTGGCACCTGTAGGCCGTCATCGAGCCCTAGTCCTGGCATGTGTTCGTCACCCCTCTCTCGCCTCACGTCTGTTAACCCAAGTTATCATCATCCGCGTTATCGCTATCGGGTAACGGGTTGCCTGCCCGGGCCCCCCCATGCCCTATATGCCTATCAGATGCCAAGTCTGAATAGTCCAAAACTCTCTCCGCGGTCTCTTAGTGTCTTGCAGTTCTGCATTCCCACCCATGTAAAACTACAGCGTGCCCGAGAGCTAGAGACACTAAAGAATGCAAACCCCTGACACCCGACGACAGGGCCCTTATGTCGGGGTTAACTGTCAAAGGAAATTTGACAGGTCGATCTCGTTTCAATCAATGAGTCCGTCTCATTCTTTTTATTTTATCCCGCGGTGCCCCCCCCCCCCCCTCTTCTGTACGGATTCTTCCGCGGACGGCGCGATATAGAACCGTCTACTGCAGGTCTCAGCTCGTGCTCCGTTAACGGCAAGGACGGACACGGGGAAGGGACGGAAGGCACGGGAAGCCGCGGCTGCGCTCGACCGGTGCGAGAAAGAAACCCGCTGTCTCTTGGTCTCACTTTTCTTGACGATCGATATTGTCTGTTCCTTCGCTGAACCACGGCGGCGGGAGTGTGGTTCTAGACTTCCTAGTCTCTTGACTTTTTTTTTTTGGTCCCGTCTTAGTTCTAGGCCTTGGAGGCTGAAAAAAAAAGCAGGCTGTCGACGACGACACTTGGGAAGACTAATGCGGCTCGCATAGTAGGTTTCGATAGTACGACGTATCACGAAGCGGATGGGCTTTCCGTGGCTGACCCTTTCGATCAACGCTCATAAATCACGTCAACACCACAGCCCGGTCCGCAGACCTCCGCAGGAAGATGGCGGCAACATAGGGTAAAAGAAAAGGAAGCCCGGCGAGTTTCACTCCTTCACCCAGCGTCCCCGGAACTGAGATGCCGTATGCCCCTCCAAGCGTGGCACCCCCCTCATTCGCAGTGGAAAACGCAACGTCCCGAAGCACGTTTTTGTTGTTGCTAGCGTCTGCGAAGAGGGAGCGACATGGGAGCCCGTCTAGCGGTGCCCACAAACGGCTGTCTGAGGGCCAGGACTTCCAACAAGTTTTGTTGGCAACAACTTAACGCCCTGGTAATTTTGATGACCATCACCGTACAGTAACGTCCTCAGAGCAGACGATCATTTGGGCTGCTCAAAGGGAATAAGCACTTCAAGGTTGGGCACATCTCCGCCTCGGTGTTGAAGGACATCCGGAACCCGATGATCAGCATCCAGAATCCTGACCTGGTTTGGGGGTTAGAACGCGATCTCGAAGCTCGAAACCCGAGCATCCCCAGTCACCTAAGCAACCTGCAGTTGCAAGTTCTTGATCTTCCCTTGTCCGTACCATGTCAATCCATTCCCCCCCATTCGTCCAATGATGACTTCTCTTGAACTCTTCTCAAAAGCCTCCAGCGGCTTTGGCAAAAGGTATTCCATCTTCATGACGGAGAAGACTCAACTCCACGCTAAGCAGGGGACAGCAAAACCCGAAAGCCCCTAGTAGACACCAACCAACCCATGCAAGCCATGCTCGCAGCCTGGACTCCACACTCCTGCAAGCCCGCAGATCTGTATTTCCAAAGTCGCCGAGAGGGGAACAGCCGCAGCATGGGTGAAGAGTATGAAAGGATGAACAACGAGGTTTGAAATAATGAAGAAAATCCTCATGATCTCACTCATCCCACTCATCTCGTTCTCACTCCCACAAAAGGAAACGAGTAATTTTATCCCCCGCGAAGAAAGGGAAATCAAGCACATGGCCTGCTCAGGGATATAACTCCGCAGGGAACGGAGTACACAAACCGGAGAAATCAGGGAAATGATAAACGACGACACGAGTCGTAAAAAGTATCCGTACGGAAGATTTTTTATACGATTTGTGAAGGTTAATAGAGAATAAACTCCGCTCGTCGGTGAGTTATTTGCTGTTTACCGGGGGCGTGGACGGCATCATATGTACCTTATGATGTGCCCCGGGTAATGCGCGCGCTCTTGTGCTCTCTCTCTCTCTCTCTCTTCCCAATAAGGAAGGAATATGGGCAAAAGTGCACATTGCATGACTGGTTTCGATACCCAGACTTGGGCTGGTGGGAAATGAAAGGCGAGGGCGGCTGATTGCGAGATGCATCAGAGCTTCCATGTGTTTGTGCTCTCAGCTCTGTGCCGCTGAGTGAGCAAACAAGTGCATGGTTGTTGCTTACTGTGATGCCGAGGGTCGCGAGAACGATGACCGTGAGTAGCGAGGACCTCGACTCCGTACTCAACGTCATCATGAGATTATCAGCTCGTCCAACGGATAATCCGACGGTGTTCATCCATCCATGCAGAACTCACAATCGCGTCTCACATCATGTGCAGGTAGTGCGCTGTAACTCGAGGCTCATTATTCTCCTTCAGTGTCATTTCTCATCGAGATATTATTTATACACTCTCTTGTTTCATGCCCCCTGGTGCCCGTGAAATGCCAAATCTTTATAGCCTCTCTCCATTCGCCAGCCCATGCGTGAATGTCAAGGAGAAGTCCAACCATGTCCATGCTTTATCGTCGGGTCCTTCCAGCGGCCGCTCGCACGTACAAAAAGAGAAACAGTCCGCTGTCTCGTCCCAGTATATAAACCCCCGTCCTGGCGCGAGGACGTGAGGAGGTCCTGAGTTTCGTAAGAAAAATAGGTACAAAAAGGACAGTATCCCGCTACAAGCGTAGCGGCAAAAGCCCAAAGAATCGAAGAGGGGGTATCGGTGGCAACGCAGAGACTATGTTATGGGAGCCAGGAAAGGGCTGAGCATCAGCTCGTCCGCACTCGGCCGCAGGTTGTGATCCATCTCAAAGGTCTGCGCAAGGAACGTCTTGGCATCTTCGGAAGCGTGATCAGGAATCGTGGGCGCCGCCTTACCACCACCAATCTTGAAGATGGCCTGCAACTGACTGCAGTCGGGGTACGGATGCGTGCCTGTCATCATCTCAACAACCAGGCATCCGAGCGACCAAATGTCGGCCTTGCGAGTGTACGAGGTCTGCTTGACGACCTCTGGGGCCATCCAGAAGACAGATCCCTGAAGGGAGGGGCGGTGCTTATTGTTATTCGCGCCGGACAGGATGTTGGTGGCTTCAAGCTTCTTGGAGATACCGAAATCGGAAATCTTGATGGTGCCCTTGTTGTCCACGAGAATGTTGGCGCCCTTGATGTCGCGGTGAATGATCTCGCGATCGTGGAGGTACGACAGTCCAGTCAAGATCTGACGGACGAAGCTGCGGACAAGAGGCTCTCCGAGAGCACCATACGAGTTGAGCATAGTCTGCACGGAACCACCAGGGACGTATTCGAGAAAAATGTTGAGGTATTCGGTAGATGAACTGCAACCCAGATACTGAACGATGTTCGGGTGTCGAAGGTCACGGAGCAGACTGATTTCCCGCTTAAGGGCCTCAATCATGCTCTTCTTGCGTGCATCGTTTTGGCTGTTGGCACCCGGGGCTGGCGCCTCAACCTGCTTGACGGCCAGAAGCTCACCAGTGACGGCATGCAGGGCGAGGTAGACACAACCGAACGAGCCCTGGCCGATGAGGGCTCCCTTCATCCACTTGTCGTCAGACCAGGACTCTCCCGCAAGGAAGCTCTCAAGCTCCTCATCGGCGTCCTCGCCATCTTCGTTGAGCGCCGCCGTAAGATCTTTGAGTGAACCTGAACCCGTTGAGCCGTCGGTCTCGAAGTAGCTTCGCCGCGTAACGTTACCTTCGGGGTCGGTCACGCTGAGAGCAGCTGCACTAGCACCGTCGGAGCTGTCGGCGAATGACACGTAGGACTTGCGGTTCGGCTCGACAGGCGACTCCTCTTGCAAGGTGTCGAGCATTGAAGAAGCGACAGAGTCGCGGAAGTGGGTGACCCGCAGGCCTGATCGCGCTTTGGGGGCACTGCCGGCGTGGAGCCAGCTGTCGGCAATGGTTGGGATAGGGGGTGCATCTTGGATGCTAGACGCGAAGCTGAGGTTGCTAGCCACACTCAGACGGCTGTTGACCTTGCTTAGACGGGTCGATCTTCTCATGGACAGACGAGCGGTCCTGTCAATTTCCTCTCTGGGGTGATCCGGGAAGTAGGAGGTGAGGTCCGAGGCGATGAGCTCGCTGGGAGGACGCAAACCGCCAAACGACCGCAAGATGCCCTTGTTCCTCCTGGGTCCGCCGGCAGATCTAGGGCCGTCGTTGGATGCGGGACGCTCCAGCTCCTTGGCGGTGTTGTACACGTTGCGCTCCCGGTCGTGGAAAGAGACCGGGGAAAGGGGGTGTTGCAGCTCATCGTTCCATCTCTCGCCGAGTAGTTTTTGTACCTTCATCTGGCTTCTCTTATCCACAGTCTCGAGGGCGCGGCTGTGGTTCTGCTGCGCCTCCTCAATGGCGATGCCCGCTGCTCTCTCGAGCTCGGGCATGCCTGGCTCGCCAGCAGGGACGCGGCGAAGAATCAGGCGATTCCGTTCAGGGCGTTTCTGGTCCTTGATGATGCGCCACAGCTCCGTGTCGCCGAGTCTCCGACACTGATTCGGGTCTGGCTCAATCCCGGCCAGTACCCAGAAGCAGTAGTTCCTCTCATGGTCCTCTCGCAGGGCAAACTTCCTAAGGGTAACTCGCATGACCTCCTCGCATGTGTTGCAGTCGGCGATTTTGACGACCTTTGTGACTCCTCCGGTGGATATGACGCGGATAACATCCTGATTCTGCGGTAAGCCAGCCATCAGTGAACCATCCATACTGGAGTTATTCCTGGTATGGGAAGTTACCAATCGGCCGGTCTGGGGAACGGATTGCCCGGCGCTACTCACATAGCCGGGACTTTGGCCATATCTTGTTCGTAGAGGGCGAATAGCGTCCGTGCCGGGAAGGGGTGAGTTGGGGCGGGAAGACGCGCTCTCCAGTGGAAGGGAGTCGTATTGTCTTGAATACCGCTTATTCATAGAAGGCGTAGGTGCGGTGCGAGCGCTCGAAGCAGAGGGCCGAGAAGATCCGCCCGATGAGGGGGTGAACTGGTCGAGGCCACCAAACGAGTCCTGTGTCGGTCGGATGTCAGCTGTGTTACCCAATGCTGACGACGTCTCACGATGCCGCAGGGGAGAAGAGCCAGGGGAAGACGATGTTCCACGTACCCTATTCCGTTTCTTCTGGTTGGCGTAGGCTTTTGTCCTCAACTTCTTAATGCCCAAGAACAATCGCACGCGGTCGCCGACCTTTTCGATACCCATTTCCTTGAGGACATCCTTATCGAGTTCGAGAAGGTTCTCGCCATTGATGTGGTTCTTGCGGAAGAGCTTCTCGTATTCGCCGCACTTGACGCTCCTCAGATAGTCGCAGACCTTGTCCTCGTCCCAGTTCTTGACGGCATCGGGGCCGTCGCTCTCGGAAAAATCGGATTCGGTCGGGCTGGCGTAGGCGGTGGCCTGGTTCGGGATCGTGGGCGCCCGCCTTGAGGGCGGTGCGGCACCGGTAGAAACGTTGGAGACCATGGGATTGCTAGAGCCCAGCGGTGCCGGGAATGCGGTTTTTGGGGCCAGCATTGCCATCTTTTAATTGTGGTATGTCAGGTGGACATTGACTGAAGTGAAGTTGGCGTGGTCAATGGCGGTGGTGATGGCGGGAGGGGTTTGTCTCAGCTGCCTCTCCTGGAGCGCGTCGTGCCGAGAGAGGATTCCGTCAGGCAGGCGTCCGAGACAGGGAACAAGGCGTCGGGCCGGATGCGATAGAAGCGAAGAAGTTGCAAGATGGTAAATCTGTGGAATGGTGGTGTCTCTTGCTAGATCCGGGTCGTGGAATATCGAGCCTCTTCAGTGCCGGACCGTGAAGGTCTGGATTCTGCTTTGACACGCAGAGGAGGGAATTTGGAGAGGGCGAAGGTCGTGTGTGAAATTACGGGTACTTCGGCCAGGAGGGAGAAAGAGGAGGGAAGGGAAGGGTTAATGATGGATTTTTGGGGGTGCAGGGGACTTTGCACTTGGGAGCCAGCGGCAGGGAAGGGTGTGTGAGTGAGAGTGTGTGGTGCAGGTGCAAGCAGCCTCAGGTGAGGTATCGTCCCACATATCTTAGGCGGGAAGGTACTTCAGCCTTGGGTGGGCAGCAGCGAGCACCACCACCAGAGACCTCTACCTGAGGTGAGAGACCACGGATCATACAGCAGGGGGGGGCGAGGAGGGGGAGAGGACGGCGGTAACAAGCTTCCAATGCTTCTTCCTTTGTCACTTGTGTGCTGTCGCAGCAGCCCGTGAAAGGAAATGTACTGGGCTGAGGCTCCAATGCAAAGAGGGATCTCTCCAAGGTGCGCTGTGTGTGTATAACCTTGGAACAACGGACGGTATCACTGTACAGCAAAGCAAAGTATAGCAAAGCAAAGCTGGGCTACAAAACACGAGATTTAGAAGCCGCACAGTCCTCGCAACGGCCCTGATGCGTCTGTTCGCTTGAGGCGGAAACTTGGGGGAAACAAACACACTCGAGAAGCTTTCCGCGGAGTCTGCCCTTGAGTCTTGGGCTTTAGCCACTGTGTGTAAGGTATGTGTGAGAGAAAGAAAGAGGAGAGAGAGAGGCAACGTTGCGAGGGGTACGACGACGGTGAGGCGTACGGCAAGGTTTTGTTCATGTTGTTTGAGGTCTGGTCTTTTGATGTATTGTTCAGTTATCCCCCGCTTCTTGGTCACCAAGCCCTTGAACAGTGATTCCTCATTCTGCATGTTACCTACCTATCTGTCCGTACCTACCTCACACACTAGAGGGAGAGAGGGAGAGAGAGGCTTACACTACCCTACCTCAATAATGCGTTCCAAAATGCTATCAAAGAGCCTCCATCTCTGGCCAACTTACCCGGCTCCATCGGGCTTGCGGTCCACTCATGAGCGACATTACACGGCAAAATGTCACGTCGATTCAACAAGGTTTTCGCAGGCCAAAGGCTTCTTCTCTGCCTCTCTTTCTCTTCCATGATGAGTCTCACTGTCTCAGGCGCGATGGCGGGTCATGGATGGAGCACAGTAGCCCCTGTCTACACCCTTGGCAACATGGCAACCTTTAAAAGGGCGTTTGCAAGGGTATGGCGACGGCGGCGGCTTCATGAAACTGGCTCAAGCAGGGTCAACGCCACACGTCCCCACCCAAACTTTGGCTCTGCAGCGGCACCTGCCCTCCTCACTGCTCAGTACCTGCCCTCCTTAGCACCTGCCCTCACTGCTTGACTGCCCAGTCACTACCTTCCATTATTATTTTACTGCCTTTGACTGAGGAAGGTACTCCAGAAACATCCTCGACCGTGCCTTCCCGTGCTTCCAACTGGAAACGTGACAATGTACCTGAGAAAGAGGTCCTGGAATTACTCAGCTGTGTCGTCTTACTGTCGCCCCAATGCCCCCAATGTCTCTCCAACGTGTAATTTGCCCTCCTCAATGCGCCGTCATGCAACCCCCGCCGCCCAGCCAATCGCCGCCAAGTCGATATCTCGTGTTCTTGTATTGCGGTGTGCCACGAGAGACCCGGAAGTGCCTCTTGGCCCATCACGGCCTGTTCATCACGACGACCAGACACCTCAAAGTCTGCAGGGACTCACTCTTCGAAGAAGAAAGAGGTGCAACAAAATAGCCCCGACGGCCAGCCACGAAATCTGTGAATAGTGGCGGATGGCGGATTGTAGCTCATTCAGCTGCCGACCAAGCTCAAATTGGTCTTCCTACATACCAGAATATCCCGGTTTCTACGTTCTCACTCTGCTCTGGAACAATCCTCCACGCGCCCATCCGAGTTCTTTTTTGCTATTCTTGGCCCGTCAGCAAACCCGCTTGGTTGCGCGCGCCGCCGCCCCTTGCTTGCAAGACTGTTCCTATTCAAAGCCCCAGACTCTGTTCACCAAAGCCACGTCACGGCGCCTCTCTTCTAACCTCTACCGCCCTTGACTCCCGACAAAGATAGGATGCAATTTCCTCTGGAACACAATCTTCCACAACGATGGCTTCGGCCATACCTTGAAAGACACCGAGGCGTACGGATACCGAGTACTCAGTAGTCAGTACTAAGTAGCCACGCCATCATGCACGGCCTCGCCTCCGTGGTGCCAGACGTCGTCTTATCGTCAGCCTACCCGGAACCCACCCGCAGAGGCCTGCTCACGATCCTTTCTCGGGTGCAAGTGACAAGGCAGCCGATCATTCGTACAGTTTGGCATGCCATGTTCCGTGTTCGACACTACGGAGATGCACCAAGCTCCGGCATAAATTCTCTCCACAACAATACCCGGCTCGATGGAGGTCACCGTCGCAACCGGACGATGTCAACAAAAAGAGCTTGTCCGTCTCGCCCGGATCACGAGAGGATCAGAGATCCCCGCTGCGATGATACCTCCGCCGGTTCCACCCTGCTTGGATCCTGGGACGATGGCACGATTACACGATAGGCGAAGGTTGGTTTGGCCGCTGACCAACAGGCGAAGATCTTGTCCGTTGAACGGATGTCATACAATGGAGCCGACTCCTTGCAACGTGATAGGCCCAATGAGCAGACCAGCGCACCCTGATAATTTGGCTGCAATCCCCTATTCGTTTTTGTAGCCTACCAGGAGCACGTCGCCACCGACCATCGTGAACTACCTATTGACGAGCCAAGAGATGCCCGCTAGAGAAGTCAAATGTCAGCTAATCGCCGAGGACAGCACAACAGGACTCCATGAGACCAAAGTGACAACGCCGATGGAGGATTCGCCAGAGTTGTAGAGGCCGGCAGCATGGCCCCGTCCACCGATGATTGGCTCCGGCGCACTCCCGCACTCACTCGGGGCTGGATCGCTTGAAACCAGTCTTGTCGCACGTCTCAACACCCTCTCCGCTGCCCTGCATCCCTGGAATCCCTAGTGCCTACCTCTGGGCGCCAATATCCCGCTGTGTCCTCACTGGTGCTTCGTTGGACATCAGCGACTACCAAGATTTAACCACCACGGCACCACTGCACCGCTTCACCAGTCTCTATTTGGGCGGTGGCTCGCAAGACGGGGTGGGGAGCTTTGGGGGGGCCACGGAGCGTCCTTTCTGCTTACCCTTCGGCGTTGGCATCCCCTCAGATTAATTAACACGGCGACGCCAGTCTGAGCCCCAAGCACGTCTAACGTGGAGAGGGCGTTCACCGTCACTTTGAGTATCGTGGATCATCCCGGCTGGGCTTCACCCTTCCAGAGCCTCTTTGCCTTCTTTGGCACGTCTCAAGCCAATCACCTACATTGTCATTTCGAGCCGCCTTTTGACTTTTCTCTTGTTGCAAGAGATGCCATGTGACACACAGCTAAGCTCCAAGCGGCGTAATTCTTCCTGTGACACCTCTATTTGTTACGAGAAAATCAGGACTACCTAGGAGACATCACAATGTTGACCTTCACCTGACATCTGTGTACACCGAGTACAACGTACAGATAGACGTCACCTTTCTTTTTCCTGCAAACTTTGACCCACGGTCTGCGAAATTGACAGTGCTGAGGTGCCATTCCACGGCATGTTGGTGGATTTGGTTACGCCAACGCTGCTATTTTGGAAAGATACGCAGCCGTTTGTGCCGTCGTCGCATAGAAAGACGCGCAGGGCACCTCATGCACATCCCCATCTGCTCCTGATGCTGATTCTTCGGCGAAAGCAGTCTGCAACTGTGGAGACATGCAGTCACTGCAGTCATGCGAAGGAAATGAGTTATGGCCCGATCACCGCCAAGTCGCCACCCAAGGAGAGGGGAAACACACACGGTTAACGAAGACTTGGCATTTGCCGACACAGATGACTCCTCGAAAACCCACGATATTCCCAAATATGTCCCCCTTAGAGCGTGCCGCTCACGTTTCAGAGCAGACCGCCTGTGAACCATCCAAGAAGAGCGTATCCTTCTGCAGAGTAATCCCAGATCCGGCCGTCTGGTCAGCTAAAATGGAGTGTCAACGTGGCCTGGTCAGAGCGGGCGTCAACAAGCCTGAAACATGAAACCTTGGAAGATCTGCCTTGCATATCCAGTGGCCATCTCAAGGCGGTACAAACATTTCGGCCTGGTGTTAATCCCCTCATTCAGAGAAAGCCATCGTCCCAAGCCACGCTGCCACTCTGCAATACGCGATGGAGATCGGCTTGTGGGAAGGTCTCTTCCCGGCGCGCCGGCACCTTACTACCCTTCCTAGCTGCTCATCACGGACGACGACCCTTGCTGCTTCTGCTTGAGCCTTTCCGTTCAAACTTGACGTCGTCAGCCGTGGCCTGTGTGACCACTGACCGGTGGCCTTCCATGTGGACAGGGTTCTGGAGAAACAGAAACATGTTGAAAGACCAAGGTGAGGCCACAACCGCCTTGTCGTCGCAACTAACACTACTCGCGATGAACCTTCATACTCGTATCGCGGTCGACGGAACGGGACCGAGACCGAAGGATTTGCCTACTAGCTGCCTCCGTGTTGCTATGAAAGTTACGGGGCAACTTTCACCACTGTCCCGCTATCATTTCCCTGCTTCATTCTAGAGGTTCGCTCCAAAGCTGCTGTTACGCTACACATGCCGTGCTTCACCCCTACAGTAGAATCGAAAGCCTTACAACAGCATGTGGAATGCAACTTGTAAGAGATGGCTATTTCCACAAAGAGCTCCAGAAGGAAATAAAAAGAAAAAGTCTACTCGAAATTGGAGGAGGGTAGAGTTGCGACGAACTCCCAGCTGGGATTGGTGCGGAAACACTAAAAACCTGAACTAGGCACGCCAGGGTGCGCCACTTGCCGCCAGCTTTCGGACGAAGTCAATACTCCACACTGCTCCGCCGCCACCGCCGCCCGCCGCCGCCGCGACCACGAGTTCCTGTTTGGGCACTGTCGGGAAGTCGGTCTGTCGGGCGGGTCGCCAGCCTCCGCATGGCCGGCTATCGGCCTTCTCCCCTTCCCGGCATAGACGGAAGAAAGAGGAGTCTCGGGCTCCGGAGGACTCATCGGTCTCAACATGACGACGTGTGTTCCGGACGCATGATGCTGCGAGGCTTGTGATTCAACCACTGTTTCGTGTTTCTCGTATACGCGGGCTCATCGGGATGGCTGGCGGAGAGTAAGGGCTGCGGTTTTGCTAACGGGACGAACCTCTGTCTCCAAGCATCATCATCATCGCTCTTCCGGTGGTTCCGACGATGAATCTCGACGGCACTTCTTCATCCAAGTCAGAGCGCTTGTCAGTCCGAAAGGCAAAACCCACTCCGTTTCGAGTACAGGCTCTCGTGATGCCAACCATTGTGGTTGCTGACTGACCGAAGCGTCAGTGCTTCAACTGATGGGTGAAGCGACTTGGCTACCTGATAAGCAACACCCTACGATGGCAAGCACACCAGATCAGCGTGGGTAATCAGATACGTCGTCATCTTATCTAGGGCTTCGTATCTTGGACCAAGGAGCTATTGAGGACTGCTTGCTTCACTTGGGGGGGATGGGCACGTTTCCTTGGAAATGGCGGGGCGCGAGGGTGCTGTGAATGATAAGGTACCCGACGGCAGTCGGCCGGCTGGAGATATGAACGGCAGTCGAGGGTGACCGCCTTTGCTAATAGTCCAAGGGCCCCCTTTCGTGAATGAGAGCATTGTGATATTATCTACGTCCAATGTTGTCGAGACACCACACTTACGATGGCCAAAGACTCCTTAGGCTGATACTTTGACAAGCACCCCCGCGAAACCAGGATCCTCGTCATGCTTGAGTATGCGCTTGGTGCGTATAGAGTGAACGCATCGACAAGTAGACACGCTCAACGTACATGTATGACCCAAGTAGCTCACGTGAGGGCCGGAATGTATTCAGAGACGGGATGATCCGTTGTCAGTACTAGGGCGGAAGCGACGACTCTATTTCTTTGAGGTGGGTTTCTGTATCTCGTCCATTGTGAGTTTTGATGTCGTGGAACGGTTACCATCTAAGAAGGTTGCATTCTGAGGAGACCAAACAATGACATTGACTGACCACGATTGTTCAACAGGTGAATCAAACCATCGACTCCAAGCTGTTGGGTGGACGAGGTTCGCAAATGTCTTAGTCGCGGGCCCGGCATTGCTCGTCGGCGAGTGGAGCATCTTCCCCATGCCCCGCGGGAGAAACCCCCTCCTCTCCAACAAGAAAAAAAAAGCCCAGTCCACCACCTCAACCTCCGATATCGACGACGACAACCACCACCACATCAAAATTTCCAACAGCTCCATTCGTCGTCGTCTTTGCGCCCCATGAACTGTAGTACAAGCGCAGCTCAGTAAATGAAGTTGGCTTCGTATTCGAGATAGTACAAGGGAGCCGTCTTTTGTGCTCTGCAGCAATCGAACCGCGCCAAGGTGCGACGACGCGGCTACCCGGGACCCGGAAATAAAGGCCCCCCCCCTCATCATCATCATCCTCCTCCGCCGACTTTCACGACCTCACAGACGACTTCTGTTCGTGTGTGTATGAGCCCTCTCCGGCGGATACTCATCCACGAATATTTTCTCTCCTCACCCTTAAAGGTCTCTTGCAAGATCACGCTCACGCACTTTCACTCACCTCTTGTCAAAAGACTTTTGGGCCACGTCACAATCAAGCCATGAGTGACAAGTCACAGGTTCCGGCAGAGGCCGTAGGCGGAGGAGTCAAGCCTCTGGTGGGCTTCCTGGGCCCCCAGGCCTCGTACACGCACCAGGTAGGTATCACGAACCTGGAGGAAAGAAAATACACCTCACACGGCATATGCCAGGTGAGTGTGTGGAATCGTCAATCATCTCTAACTGTGTGCAATCGCAGGCTTCGTTGCAGGCTTTCCCAGAAGATGAGTGGGATCTGAGACCCGTCGTCAACATCACAGGCACGTAACTCACCAAACCCCCTTTCTCTCATATGTCGTCTCTGCTAGTCTTGGCAAACCCCCTTTCTCCTTCTGTCTCTCCCTCTCTATCTTTTGTTCGCTCCTGTGCCGCGCCCGTGTGCCACCTCCCGTCTGACCTGAATCGGAACCTCCCATCAGACATCTTCGAGGTCGTACAAGCCGGCGAGGTCGCCTTTGGCGTCGTCCCTGTCGAGAACTCAACCAACGGATCCGTCCTCTTCACGCTGGACAACTTTGCCGACCGCAACGGCTTGTACCCGGACATCTCGGTCTGCGGCGAAATCTACCTAGATGTGCACCACTTCCTCGTCGGCCGCCGCCCAGCCCCAGACGTCATTGCTGCCGGCCCCCCGGGCCAAGGACCACCACGGGGCGGCGGCGGAGCCGGAGACGAAGGCTCCGGCGCCTGCACGCCGACGGCATCGGACCCGAACCCGCTCAAGCCGCGCACGAAGCCGCTGTGCAGCCTCAAGCACGTCCGGCGTCTGTACTCGCACCCGCAGGCGTGGGGCCAGTGCGTTGCCTTCTTGCAGACGTACCTCAAGGGAATCGAGGCCATCGACGTCAGCTCGACGTCCCGCGCGGCGGAGCTGGTTAGCCTGGACGAGACGGGGACGAGCGCGGCCATTTCGAGCGAGATCGCGGCGGGGATGCACGGCATCGACGTGCTCGCGCGGACGATTGAGGACCGCGAGGACAATACGACGCGGTTCTTTATTATTCGCAAGGGTCTCGAGCAGAAGAAGATGCCGGGGCATTGTGTCCGACCGAAAGCGAGGACAAAGTCCATGGTGTCGTTTACGGTCCCGCATGAGGCTCCGGGAGCGCTGGCGGGTGTGTTGGAGTGTTTCCGACGGTACGGGACGAATCTTACGAGCATCAACAGCCGACCGAGCCTGACGGCGCCGTTCAACTATGTGTTTTTTGTCGAGTTTGAGGGGCATCGGTTCCGGGATGCGGAGGGGAGGGTCAAGGGGGCACTGGACGGGGTGGCTTCGGTGGCGGAGAGATGGCGGTGGCTTGGGAGCTGGGAGGACCAGCGGTCGTGAGGGGGACTGGCTGGCTGGCCTCTTTCCTCGTGACTTGGCTTATGGTCTCCCTTCCTCTCTGTCTCTCTTTCGGTATCTCTGTCTGGCTTCTGGGTCACGCCCCCTTTCCCCCATTGAGAGAACAAACCCCCCCACCCAACAACGAGACCGGCAGAGAGATTTCAGCTTCGGCAACTCTGTGGATGTCGGCGTTGGCGACGGCCGAAGACCCCTGATCAACGTTGGCATGGCACGCGGGATATGCTTTGAGGCTACATCTGGTCTACATGCGAAATACGGGGAGGTTTTGCGGACTTTCAGCCTACGAGGGCCACGAAAGGGATGGGGCCGGACTGGGCACAAGGGAAGTCTATTGGACGGAACAGGCCTGGACTGGCTGACGACATCGCAACTAATGTCGATTCGAGATAAGGAGGTGCATTGTGAGGGCTGGAACCAGGCTTGCCAGGTCACCAGAACCCCCAGGAGCGTGGGATGAACTGACTCCTCCTCCCTTAGCCATTGTGTAATGGAAACGCAGCAGAGTGCCGCCGCGGAAACGAAAAAGTCTTCTCGAGTCCAGGGTCCCTTTGAGGTCTCTCAAGTTTCCATGCTCTCTTATTCGCTATTACGTCCGCCTGCCTCCTCGAGACTGGCTGTGATGGATTCCCTGAACACCCGGGAAAAGGTCTGAAAATGCCTCTTCACACCTTGGCTCTGTGATGGACTGATGGATACCTTGTAAAGGTGCTGAAAAGAGCTTTCATGCCGAGTCTTCACGCCGAGCCGGTGGCGTCGTGAGACCTGGTCATGAAGATGTCGTGACAAGGGGACCAGAAAAGGGAGCCGAGAACGATGGTGAGAGACTACGATTTCCCATCTTACGGATGAGTTGTCATATGCAGAGATTTCTTTCCCAACCAGCGAGCCAACAACAAGCTGGTGGAAGAGAAAAAAGCGACGGATCAATCGCTATAGCTCAAGCTACATGTGATGGTCTCAAGAGAGAGAGAGAGAACGTGAGTGAGATGAGCAGAGGGCTGGTCGCGTGCCCTACGAATGTCTCACAGCGCCCATCCGTCCACATTCATGGCTACGGTCACACACCCCCAAAGGGCCAAGCCAACAGCATGAGCAGATTGCCAAGCAACCCGACTATCTACCGTCTGGGCCCTTTTTACAATGTGCTGGCTGTTGTAAAGGATCGAGACCAAGGAGTAGAGCCAAAGTTAGTTTCGCGAAGCTCTGCAATGGGTGTGGAAGGGGTCAAGAAGCTCTTGCAACTGTTTAGCGTGGCGTTGAGGGGGGGTTGTCGGGGTTGCCAAAAGCTCTAGGAAGCTCTGCGAAGCTCTGCGAAGCTCTTGCAACTTGTTGAGGTGCGCACCTGCTTCTGTCTGCCGAGCACTTGCACGCGCACACACACTCACGGGCAGAGCTGAACCCCTCTTTCCCATCTTGTTACCTTTACTTTCCCCCTCCTTCCTCAACGGACCGGTCCATGGTCGGTCTTGTTGGATGTCTTTTTTTGGTGTGATCTTTTTTCTCTCTTTTTTTCTGCCCGTTCACCTTTCGGCCCAGATTCTGGTGGTGGATCGGCAACTCCACGCCCATTACGTCCAAATTACATGGACAAGACATGCTGGAATCGCAACACTTGCAGGACCCCTGGTCGAGGTGGTCTGCTGTTGTACGGCGACCAAAGTTGGTCCAACGAAGCTGGTTCTGGATCTGGGCCGTTCGTTGTCTTTCCGATTACTTTACCTCTTGTCGTTCTTCCTGATGCTCCGGATTCTCTCGTCCACCAACCTCATGCCAGATGCCGAATATCTGCCGTCGCAAATTCAAGGGCCAGGCCGAGGTTTTCGACATGTCGCCAGATGGAGCTCAGCTGGAGCACAATGATGCTCGTCGCTGGATCTCGCGCGAGATGCTCCACACGTCGACACACGTTCCGCCGCGGAACGTCTCCATTTGCCCTGCTTTTTTCTGGGGGTCTCTTTTCCTTTGGTGTAATTCCTAATGGGGCCCATTCGGGAACTTCCCTGGGGGGAGGGGGTCCTCGATGCCATGACCGAGCAAAAAAAAAAAAAACTTGCGTAAGGTAAAGATGGAGTACCCACGCTGCAAGTGTCCAGATTCCCGCAGAATACCCTTTTTTTTTTTTTTTTCTGTTCGTGTCGCGCGTCTGTCTGCCATACTGCACCTATTTGCATGTTGCTGCACAAAAAAAAAAAAAAAAAAAAAAAAGACAGAGTTTTTCCCAGCTTGTCCCATCCGACAAAAGCGGGCTTGCAACACTCGGCAGACTTTTAGTGCTGCCGGGGGCGCAGAGGCGCCTGTGTGCAATTGGTGTGTGCCGGATGGATTCCTTGTGCTATGACGTGTAGCGCGCGTAGTAAGACAAGGTTCGCACCGCGAGGAAAGGATGGGAAAAGAATACACTTACGCCTTCCCCATCCGAAGACCACCTCCCTCTCAGTCAGTATCTGACCCTCTACCAAGCCTGAGCCCGAGATCCAATGTATCCAAAGGCAAAGGTGTATCCGTGGAGCAGGTACCGAAGCTGAACCATCTGATCTCTGGACGATGTATCTTTTGGCTGTTTCCTGTCCGTCTTTTGCACTGCGGTTCGCCTGTTAATGTAGGCGAGAGAGTACTTTCGTCTCACCCGACTTATACCTGCCCGTCTACTTGTTGGTGTTCCCTTTTCTCTTCCCTGTGACTTTTTGCTCGCTCTTTCTCTCTCTCTCTCCCACAGTTCGAATGTCCCGAGTTGCAGCAAGGCTCAAACCAAGTGGGTGAAGTGTGGACATCCAATGGCCACACACATCCTTTCGGTACGAAAGTACCCTCGTCCTGTTCGGCTGTTCCCTACCACCACTCCATCTTCTTTGCTCTCACTCTGCTCTCATCCCGTCTGAAAGAGGAGGGGTGGGCTCACCGGGCACCGTGCTGGCCCATGGTCCAGACGCAACAAGTACGCAGTTAGTAACTCTACGTACCTTTTTTTTTTGTCGTCTGGTCCGACGGCTGTCGGTCCAAGGCAGTCGGACCTGGACATGAGAGGCGTAGACAGTAGGCAAAGTGGTGGTGAATGGCTAAAGGAACGGCAGCGGCGCGAGGGAACGAGTGAGGAGCGGTTGCCGTTGCCGTGGACTGGACCGTAGAAGGCGGGAGTTGCAGAGCTTCTGGGAAAGCTGAACCATGAAGGGGGGGAGGAAGGACCAAACGATTTATAACCAGCTTCTCCCTCTCCCTCTCCCTCCTCGTCCCTCTTCGATTTCGCCATCGATACCTTGTTATTTCGACATTCACGATCCCCTACATACCACATTTTTGTTGTTTAGCCTACGCGACAAGAGCTTCTCACAACCGCTGCCAATTAAGTCCCCAAGAAGCTCTGCAACTTGCTTCCTTGCCTTTAACCGTTACCCGTTCACCCCTTGCCGGATTCTACCATCCGTCTTCCCCGTGGCGGTGTTCCATTTCCAGCAAATCCCATAGGAGACTTCCCCATCTTTGCTGCTGAGGTGCTTCATCATGGCTATCACGCCTTCGAAGCCAATCTTCTGCGCGACCCACCCCAGGGCCTGCTCTACAGCCTTTGAGAGAGTGAGATTTCCCAATCCCATAACGCCTGTTGGCTTGTTTTTGGCACTGCTCGTTCTGTCCCCTCCCTCCTGGCGTCCCTGGTGTCTGGGACACGAGCGAGCACGCAATCCCGCCGGACCCCAAAAAACGAACAAGGTTCAGGGTGCCTGAATTGTTTTCCTTTTGGGGGGGTGAGAGAGAGGACCTGCCTGGCGGGAAGAGAGAGAGAGGGGAGGAACCTGTGGTGTTGAGCAAAATTGCCACGGGTTCGTTATTGCTTGTGCAACGAAACCACCATCAGCTCGATGCTGGGGTACTTCTGGACAGCGAGCGCATGTGAAGAAAGGCAGGATTAGCTAACATGGCAATTTCCCATCGTTCTAGGTGTTTATGAGCCGCCGGGACAAGCTGGCATGTGTACATGAGCCGTTTGGCGATGCGTTCTACTATGGCCCTGAGCGGACTGGTGAGCGATTTGAAAACGACGCCGAGGGCAGAGAGAAGTCTGGCTTCGCCGAGACAACCTATGCCGATGTCCTAAGGCAAATTGAAGAGGCCGGCAAAGATGTATGTTTTTCCCTTTCCCCCTAATTCCCTTTCCCCTCCCAAAGACATACCTGCCCCTCATTATGAGGTCGTTGTCTTTCCGATCGCGATCTCACCCGCACACCCCTCCACACTATTCCGCCCATCAAAACCCCCCCCCTACGAATACGCTACTCCCCCAACCCCTGGCAATTGAGTTGCATAGCTTCTGCGAACCCCCAGTCAAAACCACCGTCATTTCCAAACTTGCCATTCCACGTCCGAAAATGATTCAATTTTCGGTCGGAGGTGCTCTTCGAACCTTCAAACAGAGCTTCTCGAAACTCTGGATTGATTTCGATTGAAGCGGCGTTTGATGGCTGGGGGTCCTGGCGTGCACCCGGGGAAGCTCTGCAACGCTGCCGCTGCCGCTGCCGCAATGTCGCGCATCGCCGCTCAGCGTTCCCCGGTACCCTTGCGGAGCTCTTAGAGTCGCGACCGACGTCGCATTAGGCCTATTGCTCAACACCACCACCACAGACCATGATGATGCTATAATCCAATTACCCAGATAACTAACACCCAACCACAGAAGCGCGCTTTCATCAAGGACATGGCCTACTACATCCTGCCGCCCAACCAGCAAACCGCCTCCATCGCCCCGTCCGCCGGCAACGCAGCCGAGCCCAGCAACCCCACCGTTCTCCCTCTGAGCATCCTCCGCAAGTTCCAGTGGACGTTCCTCATCCGCCACCCGCGCCGCTCCATTCCCTCGTACTACCGCTGCACCCAACCGCCTCTGGACGCGGTGACTGGCTGGACAAACTTCAACCCGTCTGAGGCTGGCTACGAGGAGCTTCGCCGCCTCTTTGACTATCTGATTCGCGAGCGTGTCGTTGACGAAAAGGACTTGCTGGTCGTCGATGCTGATGACATGCTTGACGACCCCGAGGCCGTTATCCACGCCTACTGCGCCCACGTTGGTCTTGACTTCTCCGACAACATGCTCAACTGGACCGACGAGGACACCAAGGTTGCCCAGGAGAAGTTTGCAAAGTGGAACGGCTGGCACGATGATGCCATTGGCAGCACGTCGCTCAAGCCGCGCGACAAGAAGCATGTAAGTCACCCCTAGCCTCCCCCTCTTAGCTGGTGCTTTTTGTTGTTTTGTTCCTCTCCCAAAAACGAAAATTTCCCCAGAAAGAGATTGGATCTAAAAAAGGACTTGCCTGTTGTTTGGGCGCTTTTGAAAACACTTCTTGAACTCGCTGGATATTTTTTTGCCTTTTGGCGTGGCGGACGAACACACTAGTACTAGTGTGGGGTATATTTCGCAGCATGCTAATTCCCCGCGAGAAAAAGGTTATCACCCGTGAGTCTGAAGAGGCTGAATGGCTCAAGAAGTACGGCGAGAAGGGCCTCAAGGAGATTCGCGAGTGCGTCGACGCCAACGTCAAGGATTACGAGTACCTCAAGAAATTTGCCATTCAGATCTAATGCCCTTTCGTGTACGGATTTACACGTACGGGTATACAGCGTACGGATACACAACGTACACCTTTAACGAAGTTGATGACCAAGAAACGCCCACTTATCAATAAGGGGGGGTTTTTATATATACATGCATGTTTTTACTATAAAGACGGGAATCGGGTTTCTTATTTGAACGAAACAGTTCGATATAGGGACATAGGGAAATTGGGGGGTTTTCTACCAGGGACCTTGAAATCGGTCCATCATGGGTTCAATGTAACCGTATTGATACAATAGTCTACATGGCAATGCCAATAGCTAGCCACTTCTAGCAGGACTGTGTATATGGCTTGCAACGTCTTTTCTTCCTGTGAACAAAAAACCCTGGCATCGCACAATACTCCACGTCCATTTTTCTTGATGTACACATTTTCCGTCCGTATTGTGATAAAACGTCCCAGCCAAAAATCTTACACAACAGGATGCTTGCTTGTCCCCTACCCCTGGCCCCCATCTCCCCAAGACGTTGATGGTTTATGCCTTGGTGTCAGCCTTACTGTCCTTGCTGTCCTCCGACGCAGGCTCCTTGACACTGAAGTTAGTGTCGTCCCCAGCTTGCTGCTCGGGCTCCTCAACCGCCTTGGGCTCCTCCTCAACAACAGCCTGCTCTGGGTCGAAATGGTTCGCCTCCAAGAGCGCCTTGACGTCCCGGAACAAGTCGTGCGTGACGTTGCCGGTCCACTCCTGCGCAAAGTTGCGGTCGTCCTCGTTGGCCCAGTATATCGTCGCGGGCAGAAGCTGATCGACGGCCGGCGCCTTGGTAGTGCCGGCGCCCTCTACCTCCTCTCCAGACTGGCCAGCGACGAGTTGTGTCTTGGCCGGCGGCGCCTTGGACCACTTGCGACCCGTCAAAGCCTCGCCGTCCTCGAGCACGGCCTTCTTCTCGCCTGCGCTGACGACGAGGCGGTTCCCGCGGCCGAAGCCGGCGAGGACGGCGGCCATGTCGGCAATGGAGTTTGCGCGCTGGTCGTTGAGGGCTAGGGAGCGCTCGTGGCGGTTGCGGACGATTTTGCGGACGCTGACGAGGTCCTCGGGGGTAGTAGCAGTGGCCTTTGTACCGTCGGTGGAAGCGGCGTCGTTGTCTTCCTCGCCGGCAACGGAGTATTTCACGTCGTCTACGGCGGCGGCATCGTTCTTCTTCTGTTTGACGCCCCACGGCTTGATGGGCTTCGGCTTGAGGAGCTCGGTGCGATGCTCCCTGTAGAGGAGGTCGTCTTCCCAGGCGAGCTCGTGCATGCGGCGGAACTCGCGGAGCTTTTGGAAGACGGATTGGCCTGCTGCGCCGGCGCCGGCGGGGAGCTGGATGAGGGCCATTGGTTCCCAGTAGTCGCGGCGGAGTTTTGCGGGTTTGGATTTTTTGCCGTTGAAGGGGAGTTGTTTGAGGGCGCGGTGAGACTACGGGAGGTGAGGTGGTGATGTTAGCTGAGCTTGTTCTACGTCTAGATGCGGAAAGTTGCATCTGCTCCTCCATTGATGCCCCATTGACATGCAACAAGACCCCAAAGACATACCTCGAGCTGCTTCGTGTGCGAGTAGATGACCTGGTTCGAGGTCAGGTGGCTCCAGACCCAAATCTGCTCGCCGTGGCCCGGCTCAAAGTTGGTGAGCTCATGCTGGGGCGTCCTGCGTCGCGATCGCGTGTGGCCATGCCGTATGCTCGTCCGGGCGACGCCAAAGGACAGTTTTGAGAAGCGAAATACCGGGACCGAGTTCATCGTTGCTGTAGCTGGCGGACGATCGGTCGGTCGATGGGGCGTATCGTTCGTTCGTCGTCGTCGTCGTCGTCGTCGTCGTCGTCGTCGTCGGCAATCCCCCTAAACTTCTCGGGTCGGGCAAGCTTGACAAAATTTCCCGAAGCTCTGGAACCTGTCCCCCAGGCCCGCGCCGATGGTGTGGCTGATTTGTGGCTTGACTTTCGAGGTCACATGATATCAATATGCATCAGCCACATCGGACTAAACGTTCCTTGGCCATCTTATCGATAACTTTGATAAGACGAAAGGAGACTGACGGCGGGTCCGTGCGCCCAAGTTGCGAACCCCGCGGTTTGGGCTCGGCCGGTGCTCAGATTCTAGTGACGTCGCGCGACTTCCACCAGGTTCTGGTCGCTGCCCTACAACTTCCCGGCCTTGCCAGCGCATGCTGGATCAGTCCATCCCCTTGGCCCACTTCCCGGTTTACAGTCTGGATGAACCTCATCCTGCAAGCATAAATTCAACACTGCAATCGAGTCTTCAGCTGCTCTTCCTTCTCAAATCACCAAGCTAATTCTTGCACATATTGAGATACCCAACGTTGAATGATAGACTCTTCAACTTGAAGCCATCCTGAGCTTCCCCCTACAACCACTCACATACAACCACTCTTAATTACCTACCTCACCCTTTACGAAACAAAACCATACAACCACACACAATCGATACCACATCTACATCACCAATATGAATTCACGAATGGAATTCACCGACAGAGGCGAGAAGGCCGTGCAGGATGCCATGGCCCTCGCGGAGCAGTACGCCCACTCTCAACTGCTCCCCGTTCATCTCGCCGTCTCCCTCCTCGACCCCCCAGCAGACCTATCAAAGGATCAACAAAACGGCCCGCCGCAGACGTCCTCCATGTTCCGACAAGTCATTGAGCGCGCCCACGGCGACCCGCAACTCTTTGACAGGGCGCTCAAGAAGACGCTCGTCCGCCTGCCGAGCCAAGACCCGCCACCGGACCAGGTCTCCGTCGCACCCACATTCCACGCCGTCCTCCGCAAGGCACAAGAGCTGCAAAAGACGCAAAAGGACTCCTTCATCGCTGTCGACCACCTCATCCAGGCCCTCGCCGAGGACCACACGATACAAGCCTGCCTGCGGGACTCCAACATTCCCAAGGCCAAGCTGGTGCACGATGCCGTCACCCAGATTCGCGGCACGAAGCGGGTGGACAGCAAGAACGCCGATACCGAGGAGGAGCACGAGAACCTCGCCAAGTTCACCATTGATATGACGGCCCTGGCCCGTGAGAAGCAGCAAGACCCGGTCATTGGCCGTGAGGAGGAGATTCGCAGAGTCGTGCGCATCTTGTCCCGCCGGACGAAGAACAACCCGGTCCTCATCGGTGAGCCCGGTGTCGGTAAGACTACCGTCGTCGAGGGTCTCGCCCAGAGAATCGTCAACCGCGATGTGCCCGACAACCTCAAGGCCTGTAAGCTGCTGTCACTCGACGTCGGCGCTTTGGTGGCCGGAAGCAAGTACCGCGGAGAATTCGAGGAGAGAATGAAGGGCGTCCTGAAGGAGATTTCGGAGTCCAAGGAGATGATTGTCCTCTTTGTCGACGAGATCCACTTGCTCATGGGCGCCGGCTCCTCTGGTGAGGGCGGCATGGACGCCGCCAACTTGCTCAAGCCCATGCTTGCCCGTGGTGGGCTGCACTGTATCGGTGCGACGACCCTCGCCGAGTACCGCAAGTACGTCGAGAAGGACGCCGCTTTCGAGCGTCGTTTCCAACAGGTTATCGTCAAGGAGCCTTCCATCGCCGAGACCATTTCCATCCTCCGCGGTCTCAAGGAGCGTTACGACAGACACCACCGCGTCACCATTCTCGACAACGCCCTGGTAGCGTCTGCCAACCTCGCCGGCCGCTACCTCACCTCGAGAAGACTTCCCGATTCCGCCATCGACCTGGTCGACGAGGCTGCTGCTGCAGTTCGCGTCGCCAGAGAGTCGCAACCCGAAATCATTGACTCTCTTGAGCGCAAACTCCGTCAAATCATGATTGAGATTGCTGCTCTGGAGAAGGAGAAGGACGAGGCGTCGCAGACTCGTTTGGTCCAGGCGAGAAAGGACGCTAAGAACGTCGAGGAGGAGCTAGAGCCTCTACGCCAAAAGTACCTCAGCGAGATCAAGAGAGGTGAAGAGATTCACTTGGCCAAGACGAAGCTCGATGAGCTCGAGAAGCGTCTTGAGGATGCCGCCAACGCAGGCAACCACGCCAAGGCAGCCGACCTCCAGTACGGCGCCATTCCCGAGCAGCGTGCCGTCATCAAGGAACTGGAGGCCAAGAAGGCCGCTGCCGACGCTGCTCTCAACGCATCAGGTCAGGACCACGGCGCCATGGTCACTGATGTTGTCACCGCCGATCACATCAACGAGATTGTGGCCCGCTGGACCGGCATTCCCGTCACCCGCCTTAAGACTAGCGAGAAGGAGAAGCTCGTCCTCATGGAGAAGCAGCTCGGCAAGATTGTCGTTGGTCAAAAGGAGGCTGTCCAGGCCGTCGCCAACGCCATCCGTCTGCAGCGGTCTGGTCTCAGCAACCCCAACCAGCCGCCCAGCTTCCTGTTCTGTGGTCCATCCGGTACCGGTAAGACGCTCCTCACCAAGGCGCTCGCCGAGTTCCTCTTCGACGACTCCAAGGCCATGATCCGCTTCGATATGTCTGAGTACCAGGAGCGCCATGCCCTCAGCAGAATGATTGGTGCTCCCCCAGGATACGTCGGACATGACGCCGGCGGCCAGCTCACCGAAGCTCTCCGCCGCAAGCCCTTCTCTATCCTCCTCTTCGACGAGGTTGAGAAGGCTGCCAAGGAGGTCTTGACTGTCCTCCTCCAGCTCATGGACGACGGCCGCATCACCGACGGACAAGGCCGTGTCATTGACGCCAAGAACTGCATCGTCGTCATGACCTCCAACTTGGGCGCCGAGTACCTCACAAAGTCCACCAACCGCGAGGGCAAGGTCGACGCCACCACCCGCGAGCTCGTCATGAACGCCCTTCGCAACTGGTTCTTGCCCGAGTTCCTCAACCGTATCAACTCGACCGTCATCTTCAACCGCCTCACCCGCCGCGAGATCCGCAAGATTGTCGATATCCGCTTGCAAGAGATCCAGAAGCGGTTGGAGGGCAACGGCCGCAAGGTCTACATTGACGTCTCGGAGGAGGCCAAGGATTACCTCGGCAACGCTGGCTACTCGCCCGCCTACGGTGCTCGTCCTCTGTCCCGCTTAATTGAGAAGGAGGTTCTCAACAAACTGGCCATTCTCATCCTACGCGGCAACATCCGCGACGGAGAGAACGCCCGTGTCGAGCTTATCAATGGCAAGATGGTGGTGCTGCCTAACCACCAGGACAGCGAGCTCGACACTGACGACGAGGACATGGATGAGGAGGATGCTGTTGACGAGCTAGTCGCCGATGAGATGGATGAGGATATTTACGATTGAAGCGAATAAGACAACAGAATGAAGTCTAAAGACGAAGGAGATGATTCACGAAAGCATGATTGTTAGGATTGATTGGGGTGTTTTTCAGTGTAGAGATATAAACTCTAGAAAGAGAGCATCAGGCGTTTAGGGACTAAAATGGGTCAGGCATTGTAGGATTCTTCTTTTATATGCGTTGTAAATAGGTTATAGAACTATAAAAGTTCAATGAACAAAACGTATGAAAACAACTGAGTATGCCCAAAGAGTGAGGATATCCAGTGATGGGAACAAAGTGCTAGGAGGCGGGAAACTGATTTAGGAAGCAGTATTGATGGGCTTTGCCTTCAAATCTATGATCAGTTGAGCTTGAAGATACTCACGTCAACACATAACATCCAGAGGCAGACTATCGTCGGAAGGGATGGGAGACAAGTTTGCAAGTAGTCTATAGAACCGGAAAAGTTCAATGGAACATGTTTCATACATTGATCTGGACAAACACAATACTCCAACGAGACAAGGGGAAAAAGTCCTCATGTGCCCCCCCCCCCCCCCCCCTCCAAGAACCATTCATAAAAGATCCGCGATAGCAAGCGCCTCCTCTTTATCACGGACGATCAGGACAAACTGGGCTGGGGTGATGGCAATGTCTCTTGGTCCAGAGTTTGATGTATACATCCATCTACATACAACCTTACTTGACAACGAGTGGGCTACGATTTTTGAGAACTAGTATAAGGACCGAGAGATGTAGTCTACCGAGGTGAACTCTTGCTTGCACGTCTTGTGTTCGGGACTCGTGGGAACGGTGTTTTTGGTGTTTCACTGCTTGTAAACGTAATCAAGATAATGCAATGTTGCCCAAGACTGAGGATATCTAGTGAGCTGAGGGGAAGATGGCGTTGAAGGGATGTCGAGAAGGACAATCAAGAGATGTTTTTTGATAGTAAAGCTCTACTCAGTTTTAAAGTTATTTGAGTTAGTAGGACTGTTCTACGAGGTTGATGGCCACAAGAGATGAGAGACTGTTTTCGGGGCACGTGGAAGACGACGTCTTCTCTGTTGAAACTCAAAACACATTCGTTGGTTAGGTGTCAAAGATGTAAGGGCAACCAGTATAGCAACTAGGAATGACGGACAAGTCTTGGCAAGGTGGAGGCATCAAGTATCTTCACCGTGAAATATCCCCTTCAAGATGTACATTTGGCACCGTTGAGATTGTAGCAAAGTAGCTCTTAAGTTGATTCTCAACCTCCCATGGGAATGTCGAGAGAGATCCTGGTGTTCCAGGTCCTGGGAACAACACTTCAAATCCATACCTTACGAATGAAGCGGGGGCTACTTCCATGGCCGACCAAGAAATGTAGGACAGGTGTCGTGTAGCAACACCTAGCATGCCAAGCGATCATGATATCTTCTGGTTTGTTCTGGCCATCACACCTCACATGCAGTGTTCGTGACAGACGCATGCTTAGGAACCCCGTAGCTATTTCTAGCGGGGTGTCGGGGACGGCTTGCTC